TTTTATAAATTCCACCCCTAAGGGGATAAATTAACGCGAGGGAAGCCGCGGGAAAAGCTAGTCTCCATATAAGGCTGTAATATTTATTTACTTATTTATAAAATTATATGCTCTCGGTGAGTATTACAGTATAATACCAATGCACTCATCAAGGAATAAACGTATGCAATACATACATTAATAATCATAACAATAAGAGCATAAAAAAACAAAATATAAAGAAAAACAGCAACTGTACAAATTACAATCTATATTAATAATTTCGTCAAGAGGTACAGTAGACTATTACAAAACATAAAAAAATATTGATTTCGAGTCGACAACATATATCCGCAAAATTCGGATTATGGAGTATTTCGTTAAATTCTAATGACACTGACAAACAAACCGCAGTCGCCATCTTTTCATTTCACTAGCATTTTCTTCGGTCGTTGACGTTTCGCGAATATATTGTTTTTGACACTTTTTTATGATAAAAGAGTATGTGTTTTTTCTTTAAACCTGAAATTGGCCGATTGCGAGACAAATTTGGGAATTTTTTTTATTAATTTGTTTTAAGTCTCTGGATACAAGTCCTTTTTAGCCCAACTTAAAGTTTTACAAAAAAATAAAAATTATTTGTATAAAAACTGCAAAAGTTTCTTTTTATTTACGATATTTATTAAACACAATGAACGAAGCTTTACAAATCTATGTGTTCAAGATCTACCCTATACCACGTAAGCACAGATTATTATATTAGAGTCCGTTAGTTTGTGTTCCCGCGCTTTGCCTTCCCCTCCCTCACCTACTAACAAACGGACTGTACAGCGGACATGACGCGCGCGCGCGCATTGTGTTGTGAATTAAAATAAATTAGAACTGTGTTAACCTACTGTGAAACCTACTGTGAAGCTGGAAAGCTAGCGAAGATATCTTCGAGACCCTGAAGCCCAAGAAATCCGCAGAACCATAAAGGTAAATGACTGACACTTCCCTAACATTTTGGTAGCAGAGCGTGGTTTCCCAAACACTATGCCTTGCTTACTTTTAATATTCCATGAGAACCGATGACTACACAAATATCTACCCACATTTCACCCGAGCGAAGCCGGGTTTTTATCTAGTGATATTAATAATTTAGAAATTTACTAATATTATTGTGACTCTACAAAATTCGTCACCGCTCTGTGAAACTCTGTGGCAGTATAGTTAAATATGTCAAGTAGAAAAACAGTATATAGCTTATTAAGCCTTTAACGATCCCTGCTCACTTCTCTACGTATTATTCCAACTTTGTCACTGTCCAAGACATTCGTCTCTGGAACTCTCTACCACTCTCCATTCGACCCGCTCAATCTCATGCAATATTTAAAAATCGTCTAAGGTCTCATTATCTGCCTCTATAGCTCATTTTTTTCCTATTTATTTCTGAAATCTTCCAATATGTTGTATATATGTATGTATATGTGTAAGTTTATTTATCTATCATGTTATCATATTATTTATTCTATCATGGTATGGAAATTTAATGCGTAGGAACGATGATAATATATTAAGAAAGGTGTTACATATGAATGTGGATGGTTATAAGGGCAGAGGAAGGCCGAAAAAGAGATGGATGGACAGTGTGTAAGATGATATGGTAAGAAAGGAAGTAAATAACGCGATGACTGCGAACAGGGATGAGTGGAAGCGAAAAACATATTACGCCGACCACAAATAAATGGGATAAGGAAGAAGCAGATGATGATGATGTGTAAGTTTATTTATATATATATATATATATATATGTATGTCTATTTATTCGTTTAATAATTATAGTGTCTTGTGTGTGCCATCTACCTCTTCTATGTACGTTAGTCCTATTGCTTGTTAGCAGGTTGTCTGTAAGAAATTGCCTATAGCGTTTATCTTATCTGTTTATCTTATTGTATTGTATGTGCACAATAAAGAGTTTCTTATTATTATAAGTTAGCATCAATCCTGCAATTTTCCGTGCACTTTTTTTTGCATCAATTTCCATGACAAACCATATTTACTGAGCAAAGCATATTACTCACTAAACGATTACTTGAATGACGAGCGTGCATGGCAATAGTTTTCATGTACGGGATTTTCATTTAATGTTAGACATAGACACCTATATATACCTATACATTGTAAATAAACTGGATTTAAACAAAAAGTAATTCAATTGAGTTTCTTGCCAGTTCTTCTCAATTGGATCTATACACCGAACTGGACGGTAGGGAAAAAAAATTATAATGTAAAATCTTGACGTTCATAAGCGGCTAAAATGTCCTACATGAATAAATGATTTTTGAATTTGAATTTGAAACGTATTTAAAGTTGCACAGAGGATGCCCTTATAAAGGATGTGAACCTCGGAACTACAGCGCCGTCGACTGTCGAGGCCACTCCACTCAAAGACACCCTCTATTTTTAGGGTTTACATAACTTTGTATGAAAATCGTATTATCTCGCTTGGCTCGAGTTGTCTCGTAAACATTTTGTTGCAAAAACAGCTCGAGTTCAGCGTTTTCATGCAGTCCTTACCCTCATAGAGGCGGATTAGACGCGCTAACTTATATCTATTACAATTACTGATAATAATCTACAAATCTATACATATAAATAAAATTGGAGTGTCTGTTTGTAATATTGAAGTAACCGTCTTTACATGCATATGAATATAAATACGGTACATACACCAAAATAACATTTTTTACAATTTTTCTCTGTCTGTCCGTCTGTTTATTTCGGCTAATCTCTGAAATGGCAGGACCGATTTTGACGGACTTTTTTTGACAGGTAGCTGATGTAATAAGGAGTAACTTAGGCTATTTTTATTTTAGAAAAATTATGTTAAATTCCACGCGGACGAAGTCGCGTGTACAGCTAGTATTTATATATAATCTGGCCACCATTTAATCGGTCTGGGTGTTCTTTATGTATATTTTTCCCCTAGCATCCAGTTCAATATACAGATTAAATTGAGATGAACTGGCAGGAAACTCGACTGTGTTTTTAGTCTTATTTACTTAGCCTTTTACTCATATAGATTTCTACGTCTAAAATTAAATAAAAATCCCGTGCATGAACAACTATTGCCATGCAGTTTTTTTAGGTTTTGTTTTGGTTAGGTTAGCTAGGTTTTGGGGTAAATTAAGGTATTTTAAAAGTCTGCAATGAGCACGTGATGTTTTAAATATCCATTAGGTATGGTAACCGTTTACCATCCGATGGCTTAAAATTATAAAATACCTTTTACCATATATCTTATACTTATAATAGCTGTGCCCGCGACTTCATTCGCGTGTAATCAGCGCCTGCCCGCGCCCGGGCGATCCACACTGTCGCCCCCGAGCGCCCCTCCGATCGATCCCCCGTCCAATTCAAACGGGGATCGAAATTACGACGGCCTGAGCCGAGGTTCGAACCCCTAGTGGTGCCCTCAGACTAAAGTCGTATCAGGCAGGAGCTGGCCTTCAGCCGCTCCATAAGTCATAAGTCCTTCCGCAGGTTTGGAGTGCCATCTGCACTCGCCCCCTAACGTCCGGTGAAGCTGTAAAGGCCAGCTGCGGCCAACAGCATTAGAGTAGTCTGAAAAAAAAAGCGTGTTATCAAATATATATATATTTTTTTGATAACTTGAACGGTTTAAACAGCGCACACAAAGGAATCCATCAAATATGAATAATTTTTCCCGTTGCAACATCTTCACTGATATTTCGCTCCTATTGGTCGTAGCGTAATGTTATATAGCTTAAAGCCTTCCTCGACAAATGGACTATCCAACACAAGAATATTTTTTCCATTCGAATTCATTGGAACATTCATTCTTTCATTCTGCTTTCTTGATATATGATAGCGTAGCGGCTTTTGTATTGATTGCCGCATGCATCCTTATGTAAAGTGCGAATACTGTAACTACCATATAGTAAGGTCGTGTGGAATGAGTAGTCATGCTCACTTAAACGTCCAGACATGTGGCGGCGTGGTGGGCCGGGTCATTGGGCTCCCTAAAATATGGTCGAGCGCAGTGATGGCTGGCTCACCCGTCATACTCGTGAACGAGTGCTGCTTGTAGGAACTGGTCTGCTCTTATCACTACGACTGATTTAATCTTATTGCATATTTATATTTGACCCAAAAAATTAGTGCTTGTTGGTAGTTTGTATTCACACGTTTCGACTTGTAAATGTAAACTTACAAGGATTATTTAAAAGAGCAACACACAAGTTTCTTGCTCGTTCTTCTTGTGATGAGACAGCTTTCCGAACGAGTGGTAGATAAAAAACATTTATGTTATGACTATTCAAAAGTGCTTAAATTAAGTTTATTTGAATAAATGATTTTCTATTCTATTCTATTCGAGTCCATTGGACCCAGTAGTTCGGGGATTAGCGCGTTAAAAGAAACAAACAAACAAACTCTTCTGCGCTATAATATTATAAGTATAGATAATAATAAAAAATATTAATATTTTTAATTGTGTATAATAAATATATTATCTACTGTGCGCCTTCTACCTTCTCTATGTAAATAGTATCTGTCAATACAATATAAGACTTCCTTTTGTATAACTTTTTATCTTTTTTTATTGTTATTTGTTTGTCTGTTTGCGCAATAACGAGTTATAATAATTACTTTTTAAACTTTATAAAAATTCTCATCTCCCCTCTTAAGGAGAGGAGATGGCAACTTACCCCCGGTAAAAGCACAGTCGGCCGGGGTTCAGGGCCCCAGGGTGAGAAACCGGTGTACAGTGCGGGCAGAATCTAAGAGCACCGCTTTCTGTATCTTTCCCGGGAGTGAGCCGCCTCGGAATCCCAACCGTCTGAGATGTTGTTCCAGACTGGTTGGGATAAGACCGTTCACCGACATAACGATTAGAATGATTTATTATTATTAATTGAAGTAATTTAAGATAATTAAATAATCTAAAATAATAGTTCTATTCTTCTTCTAGTTTATTATCTAGGTGTAATATGATTGTATGTGTTACTTTATTCCAGCATACCGCAAGTGCTTGCCAGACGACTTCCAGTGCGGCGTGGAGGCAGCCAGCAGCGGGAAGGTCTCATCACAGGGACCTTGCATACCCAAAGACAAAAAATGCGACGGGTAAGTGAATCATTTCTTACTAGCTATGCTCGCGGTTTCATCCGCGTCAAATATATAACCTATGTGTTATATTATTATAATCTGTTCTCAATTTGACCACAGACTTCAATACATTTTTTTATTTTACATTTAAAAATTCTAAAATCATTTATTCATGTAGGACATTTTAACCGCTTATGAACATCAAATTTTTTACATTATAATTCCCTACCGTCCAGTTCAGTATGTAGATCCAATATATTATAATAATTATTTTATTACATAGTATGCTGTCGCTGCCTGTCCATCTCTATGTATGCTTAAATCTTTAAAACTACGCAAAGGATTTTGAAGCGGTTGAACATCAAATTTTTTACATTATAATTTAATATATTTCCCTACCATCCAGTTCAGTATATAGATCCAATATACTATAATAATTATTTTATTACATAGTATAAAGCCGCTGTCGCTGCCTGTAAATCTCTATGTATGCTTAAATCTTTAAAACTATTCAACGAATTTTGAAGAGGTTGTTTTAATAGATAGAGTGATTCAAGAGGCAGGTTTATATATATAATACATGTACACCCGTGCGAAGCCGGGGCGAATAGCTAGTTAACAATAAACAAAAGAGTGCATGTATGCGTCAAATACATTGTAGTATAATGTTTTTTTATTGATTTAACTTATTTTTACTTAAGTATAAGTGTGCAAAACTTACTACCTACGTCATAGTAGCTTTATGCATGCAAAGTCTCAGCCCGATCGGTTTAAAATTGACAAACTTTCATACAAACTTTCATCCCCAATTTTATCCCTTTGGTGGTAGAATTAATCAAAATCCTTTCTTAGCGGATGCCTACGTCATAACATCTACCTGCATGCCAAATTTCAGCCCGATCCGTCCAGTCCAGTGGTTTGGGCTGTGCGTTGATAGATCACTACGTCAGTCATATTCACAGTTTATGGTTTTTTTTCTGTGAGGTAATAACACTAAGTTCTTCGGGCTACTCCTAAATTCAAAACGTTCTGCGATACAAACGATTCTTTAGCATGCCCTATTTTATTAATGTTGTTCACATCAGGTACTTAGACTGCAGAACGGGTAAGGATGAAGAGGACTGTCCAGGCAAGGGTACACCGTGTCGACTGGATCAGTTCCGGTGCGCGTCCGGGAACAAATGCATCGATGCCACCTCCAAGTGTGATCACAAAGATGACTGCGGCGACAACTCCGACGAGGCACTCTGCAGTGAGTACCTGTCTTATACTGTTTAATGTTATTCTGAAGTATGAGCTATATTACTGTAAAGTTTCATCAAAATCCGTTCAGTAGTTTTTGCGTGAAAGAGTAACAAACATCCGTCCAGACGCACAAACTTTTGGCGTTTATTATATTATTAATATAAGATGACACTGGTTAAATTTGTAACCTATAACTGATATGAAAAAATAGGCTTAGCAGAGGGGTGGGAATTTAGGGCTGGGTCCCGGCAAAATCGGTCCAGCCATTTCAGACATTAGCCGGAACAAACAGACCGATAGACAGACAAAAATTGTAAAATATGTTAATTTAGTGTTACATACACTTATTACATACATTTATTTATATGTATAGATGTAGCGGTTTAAATTGGAGTGTCTGTTTGTAATATTGAAATATCCATTTTTTACTACATGCATATGAATATAAATACGGTACATACACCAAAAAACCACTTTTTACATTTTTTGTCTGTCTGTCTGTCGGTCTGTTTATTCCGGCTAATCTCTGAAGTGGCTGGACCGATTTTAACGGGACTTTTTTTGGCAAATAGCTGATGTGATAGGGAGTAACTTAGGCTACTTTTATTTTAGAAAAATAAAGTTAATTTCCACGCGGACGAAGTCGCGGGAACAGCTAGTAAATAAATAAAATAAGCCAAACATTATCTCTTTCCAGATTTTCCAGCATGTCATATAGGCCAGTTCCGGTGTACGAACTCCTTGTGTATACCAGCTACTTACCACTGCGACGGTTATAAGGACTGCTCGGACGGGTCAGACGAAGCCAACTGCACCACGGTCGCTTGCCCGGACAACAAGTACTTGTGCCCCAAGGGCGGGGCCGGGGGGACCCGCAAGTGCATATCCAGGTCACAGCTGTGCGACGGGAAGAAGGATTGTGAGGATAATGCTGATGAGGAAGAAGCCTGCTGTGAGTTGCTAGTAGAAACGTTATGTACATGTTATCGTGAGTAGATTTTGATGGATGATGTCATGAAGTACGATGGATGGGATAGTGCACCCGCTGGCATTAACAGTATACGCTTGGGCACCAGTGGAGGATGGTAAAGATGAGCATGAGGTCAGATCAGTGAGTCTACCTAGGTAAATGATCATTTACCATGGTAGTTTCCTGTTGCAAGATTAACGTGCCATGGTCGGTCGATGTTGTGGTAAACGCAAAACTTGTCATGCCCACATTTCGCTTATTTATTTGAAATCCAACGATAACATATCCATCTCGGATTGTTTTATTCATCCAAGATTCAGTCAGAAGTTGACACATACTTTTCGGACCGAGTTCGGGAGCAATTAATAAGGATCCGATCTTCCGCAGCGACGGTATCGTGCCCGGCGCTGGAGTGCGCGTACAAGTGCGTGGCGTCCCCGGCGGGCGGCGCGTGCGCATGCGCGGCGGGGCTGGCGCTGGCGGCCGACAACCGCACGTGCGCCGACCGCGACGAGTGCCGCGAGTGGGGCCACTGCCACCAGCTGTGCGTCAACTCGCCGGGCTCGTACTCGTGCGCGTGCGCGCCCGGCTACGAGCTGCAGGGCGGGCGGCGGTGCGCGGCGCCGGGCGGCGAGCTGCTGCTGGCCGCCGAGCGCACGCTGCTGCGCATGGACCTGCACGGCCGCGCGCCCGCCACCCTGGCCAACGCCACCGCCGCCGCCGGCCTCGACTACCACTACAAGCGCAACCTGCTCTTCTGGTCCGACCTCAAGACCCGCAAGGTGAGACTACCGCTACTGCCGCGCCGCTCCGTGACCGACGACTGCGTGGCGTCGTACCCTCAAACCGTTACAAAAACGATGACAGTCTGTTTCTTATCATGAAATATCATCACCGCGAATTGAATTCAAATACTTGCACTCGTTTTCTATTCGAGAAAACATGAAGTATTTAGGCCTTATAATTGGAATAAGTAAAAAATGAATCCCTACTCTTGGTCTTGGCTACTTTTAGTTGCGTTTGTATTATTAGAGTCCACCTTTAAAAACTTACAGTGTTACCAGCAATACTAAAGTACTGCCAACAATAATGATGAAATTTACAATCTTATAAATATCTAATGTTCTTAACACATCATAGTGGAGATATGAATGTCAAAAACCGGCCAGTAGTGAGTCACTGTTGAAGATCAGCGTTCGTTCTGTACACGCATATAACAAAATGGCAAGACAAGCCGTTAATGGAGGTCGGCATCGAATGGGTTCCAGATCCACTCGCAGCCGCTGACGGTGCCGGCGGGCGTGAGCAGCTACGCGGGCAGCGACATCTCCGTGGCGGGGTCGTGGGCGCCGGTGGCGCTGGCCGTGGACTGGGTGGGCGACAAGCTGTACGTGGCCGACGCCATCGGACAGAAGGTCGACGTGTTCGAGCTGGATGGCCGGTGGCACGCCGTCGTGCTCGGCTCCAACCTCACCAGCCCCTCCGACTTGGCGCTCGACCCCACTTTAGGATTCATGTTTGTCGCCGACGGTAGTCAGGTAAACATTACCGCTTCCAAATTTGTTCTCTATATTGGAGATCTTGAAAGTCTTAACCTAACAACTGTATAGTAGTTTGTTAACGAAGACCACATTCATTCTGCTTCCGTCGTAATGCTCGACAACTTTATTAAGTACTTTTACTATATAGAATAGTATAGAATAGAATAGAATAGAATAGAATTTTATTAACTCGTTTTTACAGTAATAACATAAGAAATACAAGAATAATTTACACATTAAAAAACGGAGTCAATGTGGGCCACAACTCAGCATAATGCTGGAAATATTTTCCAGCGCTCATTTTCACTTGGGCCCCCAGTACGGACGCGTAAATATTACAATTAAAAAATACGTATACATTAACTTAATAAATCAGATACTATGCAATTAAAATAAAAATAATAATATCAAGAGAAAAGTATATAAAGTAAAATTATATATTAATAATCTTAAATAATAATCCTAAAACATTATATACGTAATGGATAAAAGAAAAAATAAACAATTATAAAGAAATAAAATTAAAAAAAATATATACCCACAGTGATGCGTACGGTGCATTTTATGAATTCTAATAACGGTATCGTAGTATTAAAATAAAAATATCCATAACACTTGCTCTCTGGTACCAGCAAATAGTTTCAGCCAAGGAAAATGTCGCCACCCACGCGCCTTTAGTGAATCCTTTGTCGTTATTATCAATTATTTTTTTTATATCACACTATATCACATTCTTCATCCGATATAATAGGATGTCTTGCGCATTCGCAAATTAAAACTCAAATTGCAGTAAATTCAACAGTGATATGTTTATTTACAGATCATTAGAGCTAACATGGACGGAACGCACACTAAGTCGATAGTGTCCGAAGCCACGTACAAAGCCTCCGGTATCGCCGTAGATATCATCGCCAAAAGAGTATTTTGGTGTGACTCGCTGTTAGATTATATTGAAACTGTAGATTACGACGGCAACTATAGATTCTTAGTTTTAAGGGGACAACAGGTGCCCAGCCCTTCTAGGTTAGCTTTATTCGAAGATAGAGTGTACTGGTCAGATAGCACCAAGCAGGGCATCAGCTCGGTCAACAAATACGAGGGCTCGGCCAGTATACAAGCCATATATAAAATGAAAGATATTAGAGATCCCAAAGCTATAACTGTGATACATCCTTTAAAACAAACTTCTGTAAATAATCCATGCGGCAACAACAACGGTGGTTGTGCGCAGATGTGTATAGTGACGGCGCTACCGAACGGCGGTTTAGGCTATAGGTGTGCCTGTAACATTGGATATAGGTTAGAAACAGACTTAAGAAACTGTGATCTCGTCGAAGAGTTCCTCATGTATTCTCAACAAAGATTTATAAAAGGAAAAGTTTTGAATCCGGTCATAGAAGGTTTCAGTGAAGCCATACTCCCTGTAGTCTCTAAAAGAGCCAGGTTCGTGGGCTTGGACTTTGATTCAAAAGATGAACATATATATTACTCAGATGTGTTGCAAGACGTTATTTATAGAGTACATAGAAATGGAACTACTAAAGAAATTGTATTGGCATCTCAAAATGAAGGTGTGGAAGGTCTGGCTGTGGACTGGGCATCTAAGAATTTGTACTACATCGATTCGAGAAAAGGCACACTGAATGTGCTATCGACAAGAAATATTTCATATAGAAGAACACTTCTAAAGGATTTGAAGAGGCCGCGCGCTATTGTAGTACATCCAAATAAAGGTTACATCTTCTTCTCAGAGTGGGACCGTCCCGCCAACATAAGCCGAGCAAACACTGATGGTACGGGCTTGTTAGTATTCGAGAACGTTACTCTTGGCTGGCCAAATGGTCTTTCTATAGATTTCGACACTGACAGATTATACTGGTGTGACGCTTTACTAGATCATGTACAACATTCGAAACTAGACGGCACTGATGTACGGACAGTAAATTCAAGATTAATACGACATCCATTCTCTATTGTTATTCACAAAGATTTCATGTATATCACTGACTGGAGATTAGATGCCATCATACGCCTCCATAAGCTGACTGGTGAACAGGAAGACGTGATGGTGCGGGAGCCACAAACAAACCGGCTCTATGGTGTGAAAGTGTACAGCCAAGCCGTACAGAAAATTGATCCCATGCAGCCTTGTGCCAGAAGTAATGGAAATTGCCAAAAACTTTGCTTTGCTATTCCAAGGAACAATACGGAGTTGTTGACCGTTAAGTGTGGATGTCCGTATGGTGAGAAGTTAGCTCCGGATGGTACTAGTTGCGTGGCGGATCCTAACTCTGAACCACCGGTGCGCGCTTGCCCGAATACTTGGGACTTCACTTGCAACAACCAACGGTGCATCCCCAAAAGTTGGGTCTGCGACGGTGACGATGACTGTTTAGACAACAGCGACGAAGAATTCGCCAACTGTACCAGTAAGTGGAACTTTACTTTTATCATATAGCTATTTAATATTTTTATAAGCTTTGAATATATTTAAAAATGTCTCTCATTTATTAAATAATAATTTAATAACATTTTCCAGTTTTTTCTCGTTACATTTGGAAGTAAAACTAGCTAGATCTGTTAAACCAGTTATAGTTTAACATGATTGTTTTGTCAAAGAAATATCTTCGGATACGAGAAATAATTACACTTGATAAATATTGATGTGTATCTCAGAATCGACGTGCAGCGCATCAGAGTTCATGTGCAAGTCAGGGCGCTGCATCCCGGCGACGTTCAAGTGCGACTCCGAGAACGACTGCGGCGATTTCTCCGACGAGACGGGCTGCGTCAACGTGACCTGCAGCTCGTCACAGTTCCAGTGCGACAACGGACGCTGCGTGCCCAACACCTGGAAGTGCGACTCGGAGAACGACTGCGGCGACGGCTCCGACGAGGGGACGCACTGTGCAGAGAAGACCTGCGCTTACTTCCAGGTCAGCGACATCAATGTTTTTATGGCCTTACTGATGTTATTTTGTCAGTATCACACTTTTTAATATTGTAAATAAAATAATAATATATTATTTTCTCGAGAGATTACAGCAGATTATCAAGAAGAAACCTTAATAATCCTTTAAGGTTTCTTAAGAGCTGAGACCTAAGGGATCATGTGTACCGCGTATTATAATAGTAAATGTTTCAGATGTAATAGCAGGTGTGTTGTGATCGTGTTGCAGTTCACGTGCCCGCGCACGGGGCACTGCATCCCCGCGTCGTGGGTGTGCGACGGAGACGACGACTGCTTCGACAAGCAGGACGAGGCCGACTGCCCGCCCGTCTCCTGCCTCGCCAGCCAGTTCAAGTGCGCCGACCTCAAGCAGTGTGTGCAGGTAACGGTCACCACCACCCCCACCCGATGTCACTGTATGTGAATTAATTTGGTTCATCAGTCTGACATGTAAAATTTTTAGTATCAGTCTGATTGTAACTCGTAACTTATTTGAAGTAACTGTCAATTGGAGGTCTAACGTACCGTTGTGAATGTTCGTCGCTAGGAGGCGTATAAGTGTGACGGTATCCCGGACTGCAACGACGGCAGCGACGAGGCCGGCTGTCCCTCGCTGGCGCCCCACCAGTGCCAACCCGACAGGCAGTTCCAGTGCCGCTCCTCCGGGATATGTATTCCTACTACTTGGTATTGTGACGGTGAGTGAGACCGCCGAAACCGATAAAAATCCGGGCCGACGGACCATTAGATCGGAGGTCGAGGTCGTTTGACAGAAACTGCACAATATTAATTGCAATATTATGTAGTGCGATGTATAAATACTCGTGAATCATGACATAAGAAGCGCGTGTCCCCCGCAGGCACGCCGGACTGCGAGGACCTGTCGGACGAGCCGTCGTCGTGCGGCGCGGTGCAGTGCGCTGCGAGCCACTTCCGCTGCGACAACGGACGCTGCGTGTTCCAGGCGTACGTGTGCGACGGCAACGACGACTGCGGCGACGGCTCCGACGAGGGCCTGCAGCACGCCTGCAAGCCGCCGCCCTTCAGGTACCGCCGCCCTCCACTCCGCCGCCCGTCGCTCTCTGTCGCACGTATTATAGCTTCTGATCGTTTCCAGGTGTCCATCTGGCCAGTGGCAGTGCCCGGGAATCACCGGCCGGTGTGTAAACATCACTCAAGTTTGCGATAATAAGGTCGACTGTCCCAATGGCGCAGACGAAGGTATTTTATACTCGATACGTTTTAAAATAATATATTTTGAAAGATTTATAGTAATATTGTTTGGGAAACTACTCTGCTACCAAAATGTTAGGGAATTTACTCTCTGTACATATATAGTGAAAAATGAGTGGAGGCGTCAGTCACGTACCTGTATGGTTCTGCGGATTTCTTGGGCTTCAGGGTCTCGAAGATATCTTCGCTAGCTTTCCAGTTTCACAGTAGGTTTCACAGTTCTAATTTATTTTAATTCACAACACAATGCGCGCGCGTCATGGCCGCCGTACAGGCGATTCAGTACTAGGTAAGGGAGGAGAAGGAAAGACGCGGGAACACAAACTAACGGAGTCTAATATAATAATCTGTGCTTACGATGTTACAGGGTAGATTTTGAACAAATATTATTATTTTCTACTTCAAGGCGCCAGCTGTGACTTTGCCGAATGCGAACATCAAGACGGTCTCTGCTCCAACAAGTGCAAGCAGACGCCGAACGGTCCCCTGTGCCTGTGTCCGGAGGGCGAGGAGCTGGACGCGGACGGCTTCAACTGCAAGGACGTCGACGAGTGCGACCCCCCGGGGCTGTGCTCGCAGGTCTGCACCAACACCAAGGGCTCGTATGCGTGCGGGTGCGTGGACGGGTACCGGCTCGCCGGCGACGCGCACTCGTGCAAGGCCGACAACCACTCGAGCGCGTTCCTCATCATCTCGAACCGGCACTCGATCCTCGTCGCGGACCTCGACGAGCAGGGGCTCGAGCGCGTGCCGATCGACGTCGAGAACGTGGTCGCGACCGCCTCGGACATGCACACCGGCACCATCTTCTGGTCGGACATGAAGCTGAAGCGCATCTCGCGGCTGGACCGCGGCGGCGCGCCGCGCGCCATCGTGACGTCGGGGCTGGAGCTGGTGGAGGGGCTGGCGTACGACTGGGTGGGCGGCAACCTGTACTGGCTGGACAGCCGGCTGCGGGCCGTGGTGGCGGCGCGCGCGGACGGCGCGGCGCGCGCGGCGGTGGCGCGCGGCGTGCAGCAGCCGCGCGGGCTGGTGCTGGACGCGGCGCCGGCCGCGCGGCTGCTCTTCTGGACCGACTGGGGCGAGCGGCCGCGCCTCGAGCGCGCCGGGCTCGACGGCTCGGGCCGCGCCACGCTCGTCTCCACCAAGCTCTACTGGCCCAACGGGCTCGCGCTCGACACCGCCACGCGCCGCGTCTACTTCGCCGACTCCAAGCTGGACTACATCGACTTCGTCAACTACGACGGCTCGGGCCGCCGGCAGGTGCTCGCCGCGAGCCACTACCTGCTGCACCCGCACTCGCTCACGCTGTTCGAGGACACGCTCTACTGGACCGACCGGCAGCTGAACCGGGTGCTGTCGGCGCACAAGTTCCGGGGCTCCAACCAGACGGTGGTGTCGCACCTGATCTCTCAGCCGCTGTCGATCCACGTGCATCATCCTTCGCTGCAGCCGCGGTACCCGTCGCCCTGCAAGCCCGACTCGTGCGAGCACCTCTGCCTGCTGAGCCCGAACGAGAGCGTGCCCTACACGTGCATGTGCAAGGCGGGATACAAGCTCCTGCCGGACGGAAAGTGCATTGAAGGTGATTAAATTTATACATATTATCCGCAGAGTTGTTTCGAAAATTAATAAGACTAGCATAATCTAATAAAAAAAAAACTATTTCAGAGGAGCAATCGTATTTGATGGTATTGAAGGGATCGCAGATCGTAGATCTGGCGCTGGACGGCACGGGAAAAGCGGGACAACTGGAAGCGATCGTCGGCGTTCAAGGTACATATTGCCACGTTTTATTTTCACTTTACTTCATTTCAGTGCGTCACTTGTAATAATAAATTTCTGTTTCTAATTTAAGGAGGTGTCCAATTGGAATACGATCGTCAGGGTCACACTATATACTGGCTACAATCGATATCTAGCGACGGCGAGGACGATGAAAATTGTACGATCTATACTATGCCGTATGGCGGTGGGAATAAAGCAGAATTTCTGGGACAAGACACGGGCATCGTCGGCGCACCGTCGGCGATCGCGTTCGACTGGCTCGGTCGTAACTTATATATGGCAAACAGAGTAGCCAGTAACATTGAGCTGGTGCGAGTCGATGGCAAAGTGAAATATAGGACCATCGTGATGGCTAATGACGGCAGCAAGTTCTCTGTAGCGAAACCTAAGGGAATTTGTTTGGACCCAACGGAAGGGTAAGTAGTGATATTTTTAAAGATAGCATTTGTAGAAGTCTCTGTAATTTTCTATAAGTGATGCATATATTTTGTTTGCAGGAAAATGTACTGGACTGACGAGGGAGGTTATGGAGTACCCGTGAAAGTTGGCAAAGCGAATATGGACGGCACCAATCCTGTTATATTAGTGGACAGCTTCGAGAGACCTGAAGCAATCACTATAGATATAGAAAAGAAAATCGTGTACTTCAGCACGCAGTTCCCGGCGAGCATAATCAGTGTGAATACTGATGGAAACGATAGGAAGACTATACTTACCGAAGTTAATGCTATATCATATCCCAAGGTCATAGCCGTATTAGACTCCAGACTCTACGTGCTCGATCCACGACACGAGAAAATTATAAAAGCAGATTTGCCCAACGGTGATAACATCAAAGCCATAATGGACAACGAAAGCGATCTCAAATCGTTGATAATATTCCAGAAACGGAAAATGATTCACCATACGTGCTCAACAGCTAATGGCGGTTGCGAGCAGATCTGCATCCCGAATGACGGAGGTTCTCGAGTGTGTGCCTGCTCTATCGGATATCGCAAAGAGAATGAAGTGAACTGCGTTCCTTATAAGACCTTCGCCGTGGTTTCCCAACTTGATCTTATTCGCGGCTACAGCCTCGACACCAGCGCGGAAGCTATGGTCCCTGTAACTGGCCTTGGTCACCATATTCTGCATGTGGACGTTCACTTCGCTGACAACTACATGTATTGGGTCGAGTTCAATCGCGGCCAGTGGAACGGCATATTTCGAATTCGACCAAACGGCACAGAACTACAACACATCATCCGCGACGGTATCGGCAGCAATGGAATCCGAGGATTGGCTGTCGATTGGGTCGCCGGCAACTTATACTTCACCAATGTGTTTCCGCACGAAAATTACGTAGAAATATGCTGGTTAGACGGATCACACAGAAAAGTACTAGTAAAGACAACGATGGATGCGCCAAGAGAGCTAGCAGTTAATCCTTTGAAAAGGTTGTTATATTGGATCGACTATGGTCAATATCCACGAATCGGGAAGGCTTATCTCGATGGATCCAACTGGCAAACAGTAGTAAGCTCTGGTATATCCAATCCCAGAGATTTGACCATAGATATGCTAACTCATGATGTATACTGGGTCGATTCCAAATTGGATCAAATTCAGAAAATATCCTACAATGGTGGTAACCGACAACTCATCAGATCTAATCTCCCGAATCCAATGGGTATTGCAGTTCATACAGGAAGTGTCTACTGGGTGGACAGAAACTTGCAAACTATTTACAAAGCTTCGAAACTACCAGGCAATATGTCTATGCCAGAAAAGGTCAGGACAAATCTCCCTAAGTTACGGGATATCGCTATATTTGATGTAAACAACCAACCTACTGATGACAACAACCCTTGCCGTAAACTCGGAAATGGCGGCTGTGAACAACTCTGTTTCAGTTATCCGCCAGAAGCCAATAAGGGATTTACACACAAATGCGACTGTGCTACAGGCGAGGTATCGGCTAGTAACCCAAAAACTTGTGACGTAGTAGATGAATACCTCGTTTTTACAACTAGAACTGAAATACGCTCTATTAATCTAGATCCTAAATCAACAGGTGTTCCTTTCAAACCCGTAAGTAGCCTGACAAATGTAGTTGGAGTAGAATTCGATTATGCTGATAACGTATTATTCTTCACACAAATAAGACCATGGCCAAGGATCGCAACGATGTCCACTAACAAACCTCTGGAAAATAGTAGCATAAGAAATATCATCGACAAGGGTATAAATCCCGAAGGCATATCATATGACTGGACGCAGAAGAAAATTTACTGGACAGATAGCTCGAACAATTCAATCTTTGCTATGAATCTGGATGGCAGTGATATAGTTATGATCGCAAGAGTAGAACGTCCCCGAGCTATAGTTGTAGATCCTTGCAATGGAACTCTTTACTACACAGACTGGGGCCGATTTGGCACGACAGGTAAAATATACAGGACAACAATGGCCGGATCACTTAAAAAGGCAATAATAGATAAGGACCTTTCACAGCCCAGCGGTTTAGCTATAGATTTTGATGAAAACATGTTATATTGGAGTGATGCCGTTCGAGAGAAAATAGAGAGGTCAAAATTGGACGGTTCGGATAGAGAAGTTCTAATATCTGCTACTATTTATCCATTCGCCATTACCGTATTCAGAAACTATATTTACTGGACTGACCTACAACTGCGTGGAGTGTACCGAGCTGAAAAGCATACGGGAGCCAATATGGTTGAAATGGTTAAGAGACTAGAAGACTCTCCACGAGATATTCACGTATACAGCAAGAAGAGACAAATGTGTCAGGCTAATGCTTGCAGCATCAGTAACGGAGGGTGCGCCCAAAGCTGTCATCCCGCACCCAATAATACAGCCGAGTGCCGTTGTGACGAGAACACTAAGCTGGTCAACGAGGGCCGAATGTGTGTGGCTCGTAACATTACCTGTGATCCTTCCAAATTCTTCTGCGCCAATGGTAAATGTATTAGTCGCATGTGGTCCTGCGATGGAGACGACGATTGTGGCGATAATTCCGATGAGGACCGCAACTACTGTGCCTATCACTCGTGTTCACCGAACGAATTTCGCTGTAACAATGGCCGGTGTATCTTCAAATCATGGAAGTGCGATCATGAAAACGATTGTAAAGACGGATCCGACGAGGAGGGTTGCGTGTATCCCCCGTGCATGGACGGTGAATTCACATGTCACAATTCTCGTTGCATACCAATGTCACAGGTGTGCAATGGAATCAACGATTGTAAAGATAACATTACATCGGACGAAACCCACGAGCGGTGTCCGCGGAACACCACTTGTCCAGCGAATCACCTGAAGTGCGAACGCACCAACATCTGCGTGGAGCCATACTGGCTGTGCGACGGCGACAACGACTGCGGCGACAACTCCGACGAGGAGCCCCTACACTGCGCCATGCGCACCTGCCCGCAGAACAGCTTCCGCTGTCCCAACCACCGCTGCATCCCCGCCACCTGGTACTGCGACGGCGACGACGACTGTGGAGACGGCGCCGACGAGCCGCCAGAGTACTGTCGCTCCGAGGGCCGCACTTGTTTTGGTGACCTATTCACTTGCGACAACGGCAACTGCATTCCGAGGATATACATCTGCGATGGCGACAATGACTGCCTCGATAGCAGTGACGAAGACGATCGCCACCAATGCAATGAACGCAAGTGTGATGCCGAGACGGAGTACACATGTGAGGAAAATAAACTGTGGGGTCGCGCTCAATGTATCCCGCGAAAATGGCTATGCGATGGTGATCCCGACTGCATCGACGGCGCAGACGAGAACGCAACTCTCCACCACTGCGCCGCGCCCGCGCCTTGTTCTGAGGAGCAATTCCAATGTAACAACGGCCGTTGCATCAATCTGGGCTGGATCTGCGACCACGACAATGACTGCGGTGATGGCTCCGATGAAGGCAAGTTCTGCAACATGCAATATAAAACTTGTAGCGACCAGGAGTTCAAGTGTCAGAATTTCAAATGTATCAGGAGTAAATTTAGATGCGACGGAGAGGACGACTGCGGCGATCACTCTGACGAAGTCGGCTGTGTTAAAGAAAACAAGACGTGCCCCGACGGACAGTTTAAGTGTAACAATGACCAATGTATTGACAGCAGACTCGTGTGTAACAAGGTCGCGGACTGCACTGACGAATCCGATGAACCGGCTCACTGTAATGTAGACGAGTGCGCTAAGTTGGAGATAAATCAGTGCGGACATAAATGTATCGATACACTGACTGGATACTATTGCGATTGTAATCAAGGCTACAAACTGTTGTCTGATGGCAAGGCCTGTGCCGATGTTGACGAGTGTATAGAAACGCCAGGGGTATGCTCTCAGTATTGCTCCAACACTCCCGGATCTTATTATTGTAAATGTAATGACCAATATTACGAACGCGAAGCCGACGAACATACATGCAAACGTAAAGACAATACTTCAGCATGGGTCATTTTCACCAACAAATACTACGTGAGAAATATGTCCACCGATGCGTCTCTTTATAATCTCGTTCACCAAGATCTGATGAATGTAGTGGCGGTGGACTTCGATGTCAAAGAACAGAAAATGTACTTTGCTGATGTATCTGCGAAAACTATATACCGTTCCGATTATTCTGATCCGAATCCTACTAAAGAGGTCGTAATAAGACATGACTCACACGCTCTAGAAGGTATTGCTATTGACTGGATCGGCCGAAAACTGTATTGGCTCGATAGACATTCGAAGAATTTGGACGTCGCAGAATTGGATGGTACTAGAAGAAAAACTCTAAAAACTGGAATAGCCGATCCAAGAGCTATCGTTGTTCATCCAGGTACTGGATATTTGTACTTTACGTCGTGGCATCTCCAAGCCTATATAGGTAAAATGGGAATGGACGGCACCAATTTTACTGTTATTTTGAATTGGGAACAAGATATCGCATGGCCTAATGCCTTAACAATTGATTACTTCACTGACAGAATTTATTGGGCTGATGCCCACTTGGATTACATTGGTTCTGCCGATTTAGAGGGTAGGCACAGGCATATTGTCCTGTCCGGCACGAAAGTTCCACATGTATTCGCCCTTAGTTTATTCGATGATGAAATCTACTGGACTGATTGGAATCTTAAAGCTATAAGTAAAGCGAACAAGCATTCGGGTGAAAACTTAACGGTTCTAAGAAATACTACGCACCGTCCTTACGACATTCACGTAGTTCATCCATTAAGACAACTTCCATATCCTAACCCTTGTGGAGATAATAACGGTGGCTGTTCCCATCTGTGTCTCATAGCTCCTCCACATGAGTCTAGCTACTTAAACATCGAAGGCTACGGTGAAGAAGGGACCACCACATACAAATGTGCTTGCCCGAATCAGTTCTATTTGGCACGCGACCTGAAAACCTGTATAGCTAATTGTACTGACGGACAACATAGGTGCAACGGGCATGATGAGAAATGTATCCCGTGGTTCTGGAAATGTGATGGAGAGAAAGACTGCATGGACGGGTCCGACGAACCTGACACCTGCCCTGTGCGGCACTGCCGCGCTGGCTCCTTCCAGTGCAAGAACACCAACTGCACGCCCGCGGCAACTATTTGTGATGGCACCGACGACTGCGGAGATGGAAGCGACGAAGCTCAGTGCTCACACGAGTGTCCATTACTTGAATTTAAGTGTAAATCTAGTGGAAGATGTATTCTGGAGAGTTGGAAGTGTGACGGCGATACTGACTGTAAAGACAACAGTGACGAGGATCCGACCATGTGCCACAATAGACCTTGTAATCCTGACACCGAGTTCTCGTGTAAGAATGGTCGTTGTATACCGAAGCTATGGATGTGCGACTTCGATAACGATTGCGGTGATGATTCGGATGAACCGGCTTATATGTGTCGTCAAAGAAATTGCACTACAGGCTGGAGAAGGTGTCCTGGTCAGTCCAACTATAGGTGTATACCAAAATGGTTGTTCTGTGATGGCAAAGACGACTGTAGAGATGGATCCGATGAACTTCCAGAAAATTGCCCAAGTTGTAACTCCGAAACCGATTTCACTTGTGATAACAAACGCTGTATACCGAAACAGTGGCTGTGCGATTTCACTGACGACTGTGGGGATGGTAGCGACGAAGCAGAGTCGGCTTGCCAACACAAATATAGGGAATGTTCTGAATCAGAATTCAAGTGTGGCAACGGAAAATGTATATCGTCGAGATGGAGATGCGACCACGAAGACGATTGTGGAGATAACTCAGACGAGATGGACTGTGGTGGATTCAAGTGCAAGAACGGGACATTCCAGTGCAAGTCTGGACACTGTATCGCTGCATACTTCAGATGTGATGGCGACAGAGATTGTAGAGATTTATCTGATGAGATCGGCTGTCCTCCGCGGTTCCCTGGAGGAAAATACTGCCCTGAAAGTCGGTATGTCACTTATCAATTACATAATTACATTGAATGATATTTCTTCAATAAAATATATTTGTGTTTTATATATTTCAAGTTAAATTGCAGTTATAATGATTTTATTATCATTTTAAGATTCCGAGTAATTTAGAGAGTTTTAAAAGAGCTACAATTTAAATTTCTGTATGCGTACGCATGTAATCAACGAATTAACCAACATCTCAAATTAATAAAAATTATGAACTGTATTGTCATCAGGTTCCAATGCGCCAACAATCTGTGCGTATCACAGTCGGACTTGTGCGACGGCACGGACGACTGCGGCGACGGGTCCGACGAGGCGGCTTCCATCTGCACTAATTTCAACTGCGACACGCTGCGCCGCTTCCACTGCGACAATCATAGATGTGTGCCCAGGTGAGCGACGGTAGCGAGCAAGTATGAAATTATTATATAACCTAGTGGTCTAGTGGTTTAGCACGTCTTACATCATCATGATCGGGATGACGAAAAAATTGTATTCATGACTATGATTAATTGTAATGGTCTGGATGATTTCTATGTAAAAATGTAGATAAATGTAGTTACAGCATAGACATATTAGCTGATACGGTGGACGTCTGTGACAGGTACCAGGTGTGCGACGGCGTGGACAACTGCGGCGACGGCTCGGACGAGAACAACATGACGCTGTGCGCGGCGCGCGCGCGGCCGTGCGAGCCCGCCACGCAGCTCACGTGCGCCAACCGCCGCTGCGTGGAGCGCACGCAGCTCTGCGACTACGCCGACGACTGCGGCGACGCCTCCGACGAGCTCGGCTGCCACCGCGACCGCACCTGCGACCTCGAACACAAAGGTACGTCCCGCTCCGGCCCGCTCCGGCCCGCTCCGTCTCATTCCGTTCCGCTCCGTCACACTAGCGGCTCGATCATCAGAGCCGAGACCGCTCACTCGCTCGCTTCTGTCCACAGGTGGCTGCGAACACTTCTGCACCAATTTGACGCAGCCGGGCGGCGGATACATCTGCTCGTGCTTCCAAGGTTGGATAATCTCGCCGGCGGACAAGAAGCGGTGCGTCGACGTGGACGAGTGTGTGGCCGGCACCCACCACTGCTCGCATATTTGCACCAACATCAACGGCAGCTACAGTTGTAGCTGTCGCGAAGGGTTCAGGTATTCTCTAAACCATATCGCCGCTTTCTCCGCTAGTGACATATTAATTTAGATGATGTCTTATTCGATTCTCGACTATTTCAGATTGGCAGATAACTTATCCGGCGTTTGCAAGGCGACAGAGAACGAGGTGGTACTAATGTTTGCCAATGGACCTGAAATACGTGCCTTTGTCCAAGATAAAAACGAAGAATTCGACGTCATCACCTCCGAGAAGAGAATCGAAGCCATCGACTTCGACCCTAAAAATGAGATGGTCTTCTGGGCCGACAGCTACGATAAGACCATCAAGCGCTCGTATATGGTAAATGCGATGGGAGGCCAGGTCAAGACCGGATTCGCCCAGGATCTCAACATGAAAGGAAACTCCAAACCTACGGCACTCGCGGTCGACTACATCGGTGACAACCTGTACTGGACCGAGGTGGACAGAACCGGCTCGAAGCCGAGAGGTCGAGTCATGGTGGCGAGGTCCGACGGCAGATACAGACGAGCGCTAGTCTCTGCGGGTATCGAGAGCCCGACGTCGCTGGTGCTCGATCCTCAAATGGGCAGAATGTTCTGGACGGACGCGGGATCCGCACCGAAGATAGAGATATCGTGGATGGACGGCTCGAAGAGGAGACCGATCGTCACGGAGAACGTCAGGCATCCGACCGGCTTGGCGATCGACCAGGCCATGGACCACTCGATCTACTGGGCCGACACGAAGCTGAACACCATAGAGTCGATGAGACACGACGGCTCCAACAGGAAGGTGATCCTCCGGGGCGATACACTAAAGCATCCGATCTCCCTGGACGTGTTCGAGTCGTCGCTGTACTGGGTGACGCGCGACACCGGCGAGCTCGTTCGGCAAGACAAGTTCGGACGGGGAGTGCCGTTCGTCATTTCCAAGGATCTAGTCAACCCTTCGGCTGTGAAAGGTAACGATACATTTGACACAGTCGACTTTGTACTTCTTTTCTCGAAATTCAATATTCAATATCGTCAATATCGATGTCTGTCTCGGAACCTGAGAGCTATTAACCTAATATTATTTTCGTCAGTGGTGCACCCGCGGCGCGCGGCCCCGGCGGAGTCTTCGGGCGCGTGCGCGGCGTGCTCGCACCTGTGCCTGGGCGTGCCGGGCGGCCGGCGCTGCGCCTGCCCCGACCTGCTGCCGCCGCCCAAGCGCGCCGCGCTCGACCGCGCCTGCGACGCAGGTACGCGCCCCCCCTGCCCCCCCTGCCCCCGCACCCCCGTGCTCGCACCTGTGCCTGGGCGTGCCGGGCGGCCGGCGCTGCGCCTGCCCCGACCTGCTGCCGCCGCCCAAGCGCGCCGCGCTCGACCGCGCCTGCGACGCAGGTACGCGCCCTCCCTGCCCCCCTGCCCCCCCTGCCTCCGCCCAACCTGCCCCCGCCCCACCTGCCCCCGCCCCCTGCCCCCGCCCCCTGCCCCCGCCCCCCCCTGCCCCCGCCCCCCCGTGCTCACACCTGTGTATTGAATGATCCAAGTAAGTTTATAAATTTTACACAGAAAGAAGTTTCTATAGACTACAAATAATTATCTACAAATAATAAGTTTTCATCTTTGTTACTCCTGCGAAATTATTAAACTGTTGTCAGTTTAATAATTTCGCAGGAGTAACAAAGATGAAAACTTTCATATAATTTGCTCTTTAGATATTTTTATGTCGACCACATTTAAGGACTACTCGATGACCTATATCCAGTAGTAGTCGAAGAGTCCTTATGTAGATAGTGGTTCCAACGTGATCGTCCGTGTCCGCAGCGGTGGAGTCCCCGCGCGCGCTGCCGCGGGTGTGTCCGTGCGAGAACCAGGGCCGCTGCGAGGAGGAGGAGCAGGGCGCGCTGCGCTGCGTGTGCCCGGCGGGGCGCGCGCCGCCGCTGTGCGCGGGCGGGGCGGGCGGCGCGGGGGGCGCGCGGGGCGCCGCCGCCGCCGCCGTGCTGGTGCCCGTCGTGCTCGTGCTCGTGCTGGTGCTAGGAGCCGCCGCCGCCTGGTTCTTCATCCGGAAGAGGCCCTTGTGAGTTCGAGTCCGATCGGTACCATGAATGAGTACAGGTTTTCGTTTGTTTCTAACTGATACCGTTCGATGCGCAGCGGCAAGGGCGGCGGCCTCGGCAGCCTGGCGTCGTCGCAGAGCGTGTCGTTCCGGCAGGGCTCCAACGTGGAGTTCGGCGGCGTGGCGGAGCCCGCCTACACGCTCGAGGACACCGGCCGCAAGGGACGCGACTTCAGCAACCCCATGTACGAGGCCGTCACCAGGGCGCAGGCCGCCGGCGAGCCCGACCCTCCCCTACGTGAGTATTTATAAACACTCATAATTCTTAATTTGATTCTGAACTAAATTCATTTAAAAGAGTCACACGCAAGTTTCCTGCTCGTTTTGTTGTGATGCGTAGACTCATCACAAAAAAACGAGAAAGAAAAAAAACGTAACTCGGAATGATACGATAGAATAAAAAAAATTAACTGTTTAAAAGTGCTTATATTCGGCGTAACGAGTTATAATGTCATAATGCAACCTACAAACGCAACTGTGCGCTATATTGGCTCCTGGTCCATCGAGCCGGATAATTTTGATAGAATTATAACTATACAATGACATGTATGTCTCCACAGCCGGCATCTACGAAGTACCGGACGAGATAAAGGAGAAGGTGGCGTCGGCGGTGATATCGCCGTCGTCGACGGAGACGCGCGGCGGAGCGGGCGGAGGCGCGGGGGGCGCGGGGCGGCCGCGCGCGCTGGACCCCGCCGCGGACACCGGCGCCGACACCGCGCAGCTGGTGCGCGAGGACCGCGACTGCTAGCGGCTGCCGCGCGCGCCCCCCGCGCGCCCCCCGCCGCCCCCGCCGCGCCCCCGGCTCGCCATCCTCGCGCCCCGCGCGCTGCGCCCCCCGCGGCTCCCCACGTATCTCCCGCTACCCTCGATTCCAGTCATCGACTAGTGTCCTCGACATTTCCTATAAAAACTTTACTTATTCTTTACTTTTCTTTTGCGACTCGATGACGTAGTTTCCGTCCGGTCGCGGTGGAGAGCGCGCGGGGCGAGGGAAGGCATAATCGGCTTCGGAGAACGGTCGCCCGCGGAGAACTACGCGACCAGAGCGGGAGCTCCGCGACCGGCGCTCGTTCGGGGATGTGAGCGTCGTGCGTCCTTATTATCGTGTTTGCAGCTCGGCTGCACGTAGTCCTCCGCGGTGGTCCGCGCCGTAGTACGTAAGCGTAACTTAGGAATCGTGTTCGGCCGTCGGTTGCCGCCCCTCGTAATGTTTTCGATTGATTTGACAATAAGCAATAATATATGTACTGTCTAGAATTTAATTTATTTATTTCGGTTTAAGACTATGTAATATATAGCTACGTTGTGTTTTATAATTGTCTATTAAACTCTTAGATTTTGTGGAATCAATTGACGATCTGCCATAACGTGTGAGATAATGTTTTCTGTTGTTTAATTTTAAATAATTAGTAAACTCGTCGACTTTGTTAGATATGAACCTCTACGAATTGTAAATATGTGCGTTCATAGTTGTGATGTACATTTTAATAGTCGAAATTTAATAGTATTTTATATTGTTATACGAATTAATTAATATATATAACTATGTACCATAACTATATTAGAAGATTTCTGTGAATATATCATTACATCACATTATATATTATATTGTATAAATATAAAAGAATATTGAAAGAGAATTGATAATGTAAAAATATAAATTTGTCAATATTATATAAATAAGGAGATGAAATATTTTTATATTGGGATTATTATAGTTATTAGACAGTTGTCTGACATAGTTGAAAATGATCTGTAAAAATACATTAAAAATGAAAATATTGAGTTTGTTTCATTTTATATTTCACTTCAACATTCAATTGATTCATTCGGCGACGCGTGGATATTCTATATATAGCAAAATGAATTGCTGTTCGTTAATCTCGCTAAAACTCAAGAACGGCTGAAGCGATTTAGCTAATCTTAGTCTTGAAATAATCGTGGAGGTCCAGGGAAGGTTTAAACGGTGATAAAATAGGAAAAAATTGCATATAAAATTGTTAAAATAACAATTATATTTTCCCATACAAACGCCCAATACCTGTCAAACAGGTTGCATTAAGAAATTTATTGCTAAACTTCAAAAAACCTTTGACATATTTAATTTTGAGTCGCGGGGTCAGCTATTTTATACATATTTGAAATGGTAAACTGACAACAAGCCTAATGGTAATACTATACTGACGGCCAGAAATTAAGTGGTATTTGAACGCGCCCACACAACGCAAAGTGATAAGTTGGATATAAAACTCATTATTTTATTTACATATATCTAATTGTGTACTGTATTTAAATATTAATTTAAATAAGAACCTAATTCGTGCTACATATTTAATATGGCCGTTCCCGCCATTTTATCAATACAGACTCTGCAAATGCACAGAGTACGTTATTAACAGCCATTACAAATGTTATAGATAAATTAGACCATAAACACGCGGTGTTTGTTACCTAAACGGCTCCGAAACGGCTTTACCGATTTTTATGAAATTTTGTTTACGTACCGGGTAGGTCTGAGAATGGGCCTACATTTTTCCATACCCCAATGATAAGGTGACTCACCCCAAATTTTTTTTTGTACAATAATATTAATTTTTATTTTATTATAATTTAATATTTAAAATTACATTCAACATAAAATTTTCACTCTTACGACCAGCCCTTGATTTTTAATAGACATTTTAATTTATATGGAAGAATAACGTTTGCCGGGACAGCTACTTTAAGTGTTTAAAAAAAAAGTAAAAATATAATAAAAAAAAACGACTGCGAGTCGAAAAATTCTTTATTTGCTTTGTTCAAATCCCAATATAATTCCAACATAATTTCTACCGACGCGACGAGTCACGTCATTCTCGATAGCTTTGTTCAAATCCCAACATAATTTCTACAGACGAGTCATGTCATTCTCAAAAGGCAACAGACTAGTTCGGCGAGTGACATATTTAAATAACATTTTATTACAAATTAATTGCGCCCAAAACCTAAATTTAAAAAAATAAATTGGGTCACCACAGCAATACGTCCGGGTAAGGAGCGTGGGCTCGAGGTCCGTATGCAGCGGACGGCTCGCGAAAGACTGAATATCTTTTTTAGATATCGTAGCAGAGAGAAAGACAAACTTCTTAGCATTCCATGGTATTGTTATGGGGGTGCTGGGTCCATGTAGCAGAGAGGGATACTCCAAGCAGTTCCCCAGACTTGTGACCCGGGTATAGTTGTAAGGATTGAATTTGGGGGATCAATAGGAGAAGCATAGCAAATTCAGATGCGTATGCATTAAGCACAAGTAATCACGCTGGTTTCAGTACCACCACGTGGAGAGCATCCTGATGGTGTAGGATACATTGCTGGTAATGTAACCTCTAGTTCACAGACAAATCCCTCACCCCACCTCATCCCTCCCCGTGAATGCGTTTTTTATAAACCAGCGACGTGGACAGTAGGTCCTTGTATATACTTATTTAAATAGTAATAATAATTTCTCAGGACACACTACCCCCTCTAGTCCCAAATTAAGCAGACCTTGTGTTATGGGTACTAAATATATGGATACATTTTTTTTGTAAAATTTACATACATAATAAAGCACCTAACCCGGTAAAACTACACTCATGAATGGAAATTATTATACTGTCCGAGGAATCGAACCCGCGATCATCGGAAGCAAGGCGATGTTAAACCGCTAGACCACCGAGGCAGTCAAAATAGAAGAATTGTTCATTCTTCTACTAGCTCACAAGCTAGGAACAGGTCAAGGAGACCAAGTTCTTCGCCGACCAAAACTACCTAGAAGTCGAAACACTTTAAAAAAAAATTCAGTTCACTTGGGGGGAAAGAGATTGCTAGTAATGGGGTCTAGTGTCTCCATTGCTAGCAATGTACCATGTTAGTCCGACCTCCACGGGGTTCTCCCTGGAAACCATTCTAGTTAATGTAATAACAGATTATTCCTCATTTTCTTTCAGTTTAGTTACGAATTGTGATGTTGAGAAGAGCTTACTTTCAATCTCTTCCGATGCCGTTGGTACGGATAATATTAGTCGTGCTATGATCCTTCCCATTCTAGATATTGTCCTCCCTATTATCACCAAAATTTTCAATGTTTCCTTATCCTTAGGTGTGTTTCCTTCCGTCTGGAAAGATGCTCATATTATTCCACTTCCCAAAAAGTCTAACCCGAGCTCCTTTTCAGATTATCGTCCAATATCCATTCTCCCTTTCCTCTCTAAAGCTATGGAGCGTCTTGTCCAAATTCAATTAAGTACCTTCCTTTCTAAAAATGGTCTCATAAACTCTCTTCAATCCGTCCTGGTCATAGTACGACTACTGCCCTTGTAAAAATTACAGACGATATTCGTTACGGCATGGAGAACTCCCAGCTTACTGTCCTTACATTACTAGATCTAAGTAATGCTTTCAACACAGTTGACTTCGATATTCTGCTGGGACTGATGCGTTCTCTCAACATATCTCCAATCGTAACTAAATGGTTTCAAACATACCTGTATGGGCGCCGGCAACGCATTCGAATAGACAATCATTTGTCCCAGTGGTGCCATACCTCAGCCGGCGTCCCTCAGGGTGGCGTCTTATCTCCATTACTTTTCTCGCTATTTATTAACTCCATTACTCTCGAACTTCATTCCTCATACCACCTTTACGCAGATGATCTCCAACTATATACACAAGCTCCATTACATAACATCACCTCTGCCATCACTAAAATCAACGATGATTTAGCAACCATTTCAAACTGGTGCAAATCGTACGGATTAATCGTGAATCCTTTAAAAACGCAAGCTATTATAATTGGCAGCCCCTTTTATATCGCCAGAATAAATAGGAACCTTCTTCCGCGCATTGTCTTCAATGGTGAACTCATAGCTTACAGTGACAGTGTGAAAAACCTAGGAATTTACTTTGATCAGACACTATCATGGTCGACTCAAATTATGGAACTTAGTAAAAAGGTTTTTAGTGTCGCTGGTTCATTAAAACGGTTACGTAATTTCTTGCCTTTCGACACCAAGGTTACGCTTGCAAACACCCTATTACTTCCTATTCTGGATTATGCAGATACTTGCTATCTAAACCTCACCGAAGCCCAGTTGAACAAACTTGAGCGTCTTCAAAATGTCTGCATTAGATTCATATTTGGTTTACGTAAATACGACCGCATTTCACAATTCCGTACTCAGCTCAAGTGGCTCCCAGTTCGTTCTCGCCGAGATTGGCATACTCTCTCTTTACTCTATTCTATCCTTTTTAACCCTATTACTCCATTATACCTTAAAGAATCTTTCACATTTCTCGGTGAGGTGCAGAATAGTGGTCTACGAAGTGCAGATAACCTCCTGTTAAAAACTCCCACCCATACCTCTAGTTACTATTCCAAATCCTTCTCTGTACAGGCTGTGCGCCTTTGGAACTCGCTACCGCCCTCCATACGTAATGCTCAATCCTCAGCCATCTTTAAGAACTTAGTTAAATCTCACTTTCTCTCCCCGTAAATACTCTTATGTTCACTTCTTTTCCACTTCTATTGCTTCTTACATTTAGTATAGTGTGTTATTTGTGTAGTATTTATATGTATGTATAATTTTTATGTGTATGTATGTAGTTATTAATTTTAATTTATTTAAGTAAGTTTATATATATATATATATATATATTATATTTTGTTACCTTATTTCCACTCCACGTGCCGCCTACTTTATTTTTATTTATACTCTCTTTCATAAGGTTGTCTGGAAGAGATTGCGTTAGCGATAAGACCGCCTTCTGTACCTTCTTCTTTCTTTAATGTATTGTTATATATTATTTTCTTTTTATGTATCTACTTTTAATATTGGTGCAATAAAGAATTATAAATAAATAAATAAATAACTCACCTGACCTCATGCTCAACTTATCATCCTCCACTGGCGACCCACCCGCGTAAACCGTTATCGCAGGCGGGTGCACCATTCCATTATCATACATGGACAACCTCCTCAACCCACCCTCAGAACAGCAGCAGACTTTCATTTGATTTCATAATACTACTATCTTAAGCATAATAAAAACTTTAAACCGGAAGATAACTGGTCATATTGACCTGTTGCTGCTTCTCAGACCATAAATATAAGATAACTAAATTATTTTTATTTTAAAGATTGTTGACTGCCGGTACAAGTCATTATATCTTAAATGTTTGCGTGATATACAAGATTTTCAAAAAATCTTGTATTCACTTTTAAGATTTTGATATATGAATTTTAATAAATGTCATATAATGTTTTCTGTAAATACGAATTAAATCCACTTAAAGACCGCTTCATTGTAGTTATACAAATGTATTTATAAATTTTTCAGTTTCATCTATCTATATAAAATAATGTTAATCTATTAACATGATAGAAATTATGCTAAAATCGCGTGTACAGGAACGCAGCTGAATGAACGTGATGTAAATGCCAAAAGCCGAGCGCCAAATGCCAAAAAACGAATTTTGAAACATTTTCTTCTTTACGTAATCGGTCAACGTAATTTTAAAAATTCTCTGTTATAATGAACTAGTATATTATTAAAATAACAATAAATATTATTAATTGTGTCCGTATAAGTGATAAAGTGTAGTAATCATTTATAACAAATATCAGAAGTTATTAACTTTAGTTGTAATCAGATAACCCTTTAGGAGGTTACAAGAATACTATTCGGCATTAATATTAATTAATCGCTTCTCGGCATTCGAAGTAACAAGTGTATTTCGTGTTTGTTTACGAAATTATAAGTATCGATCGTTATATGAAATGTATTGCTAGTTTGGTCGCGATCAATATCTTAATTTCTCGGTTTTTAGTCATTTTTAAATACAATTAATATTAATAAAACGGTCAATTAAAATCTTTGTATTTTATTGTTTTATCCAATTGTTCGGTGCAACGAATAGTGATTGTGACGATTATAAAGTAGTGTCACTGATTAAACAAAATGTCACAGATGAGATTGCTAAGTTGCAGCCGGCTGTTGTCTCGCGCCACGACACAGTCGGAGATCGTGGATTTCACACAAAAAATTCCGCGGAAGAACCCCAGTAATACACGCACAATGGCTTCCAAATCGTTGACCATAGAAAACCTAAATCCGAACATTTTGAAATTGGAATATGCTGTCCGCGGTCCTTTGGTAATTCGCGCTGCGGAAATTGAAAAGGAATTACAAAAGGTACGTGTTTTTACATTTTTTTTTGGTAAAAATTATTTATAAACCGTTTTACTCTTGTTAGTGGGTTCTTATTCTTATTTTAAACATAATAAATGCCTATAATGAAATGATATCAAGGTCAAACTTTCACGACTATAAGTCCTTTACAAATGTTTTAATTCTATATGAAATAATTATATTCATTTAAACATATTACTATAATATACAATATAATGTATCTAAATTCTATATTAATATATAAAATCAATTTGTAAAGTAATATTCATATTACCAGTGGGTAGAATTAATATTTTAAAATTTAATGTTACATAAATGTGAGTTTTTGTAAAGATGTCTCTTTGTTACTCAAACATGAAGCACTGGGTGTTAATTGAATTTTGGTACATCATATCGAGATATTCCTTATTCTATTATACTCGGTCAAAGTCACAACATATTGTTAATATTCATTCTTGCATGATATTGTAAATAATTACATTTGTTTCTTGAAGCAAAGTACCAATTAATCAAATTTATAGTAATACTCAATCATTATGTAGTATAAAACAAAGTCACTGTCGCTGTCTCTTCCTATGTATGCCTTGAAAACTACACAACAGATTTTGACACATATTTATATGTATAATACATGTACACCCGGGCGAAGCCGGGGTGGGTAGGTAGTTTAAAATAATTTGTTTTGCCAGCTATGGCTCATTCACTAATGATTTCAATGAGTAATAATGTCATGCTATTGTTATTAATGTGTTACAGTAATTATCCAGTGCATGGAAAGTCTATAGTTATGTTTGTTAGTCACAAATGGTTAAATGAATGTAGTCATTGCATTGTACTTTGATAATGAAATTCACTTGTCACTGTAGTTTTTTAAATGATGATAATAGGGTGCACTTTTCTGCAATAATAGTTTGTTGGTGGGGCACTGATGAGGGTGACAAGATCATGAACATGAGATCAGGTTAGGTTAGTTAGCCAATCGTGGCAAATTCACCATGAATTTATCATAATGGCTTCTAGCTGGAACTCTGTGGAGGTCAACCTGTACACATTATCTACTTTGGTATATTGCTAGCAATGGGGTCAACAGTAGGGTTGCCAAGCCCAAATTAAAAAATCAGGATTGAAAGTTCAAAAAACTAGGACTATCCAGTTTAAAAACAGAACGCAGTAATAGTGTTGCAATAGTTATATTAATATGTAGTAAAATTCAAGTAATTAATATAATCAGGTTTGTAATAAAAGGTATTTAATAAAATTATACTGTTGAAAATCAGTATTTAAGAGGCGCACATATTTAAAAATTCAGGATGCTGCCATATAAGTATTCAGGACTTCTCAGGACACTTCAAAAACTAGGACATGTCCTGCGAAAACAGGATGGTTGGCAACTCTAGTAAACAGTCCACATTACTAATTATTTCCTTCCCAGCTGATATAAAGTTAATTTTGTTTACTCATTTCAATTATTTTCAAAGTTGTACAGTGTAGTTACACATTAAACATCACAGTAAACCAACCTGTATTAAGAGAATCCACAGAGAATAACTTTAATGTATGTTAGTGTGATGTTTCTTACCAATCATCGCTCCCGGGAACTTCTCATACTTTCCCTCTTGGTCACGATGGACCCAGCACCGAAACCGTGAATTCTAAGGCATGCAAAGATTTTGTCACTGCAGTAATGTTACCCACTCACTAATTCTTATGCCATACTTTGTTGGGTTGAGTATAAGATATCTGTGTTGGAGATAAGTCATCTTATGCCTTCATTATCTCTAATTAACACCTTTATTTTAGAGTGCAATAAAGATAAAGTAAGTGTTGGCACACAGACATTAATTAGATAGATAGATAAATGCTTTATTCAACAATTACAAACACATATCATACATGAGATACATTTTATAAATAGAAATAAAGTTTACAAATTAAAAATGCATTAATTACTTATATAAATATTACAAAATAAAAAATGGAGGTGGCTTTATGTGTAGCAATGATGAAGAGGCAACCAACTCAGCATGAAGCTACAGATAAGTCTGCAGCACTGATATTCTGTTGGCTCCTATAATTAAATATATACTTACATACATACATACCTGAATGTATTACACTTCGAGCTCTTAAACAATTTGTTAGTATTACAATGACTGAATCTACATTTTATAAACCAGTGGATATCTGTATTGGTTTTACTATTATTAATTCATATCTATGTACTTAAATACATACTACATTGTGAAACTGTTTGTATCCCAAATAAAATAAAATAAATTCATAAGTAATATGAGCATTATATAAGTACTAAGTTGAATTTATTTTTAATTTAATAGGGATGGTAAACATATTGGCTGGTCTATCATTTGTGGCAACAATTTTTTTGTATAATGGATCACAATGGAATAGTGCTTATATATACTTGCCTGTGCTTATGGTATACCCTGTCAGGACACCAGTGGAGAATGATAGTCAGGGAAGTTAGTCCATTGTGATGAAATTACATGGTTTTCGGGGATCCTCCGTAGAGCTCCACATGTCATTGTACATTACATTATATGGCTAGCAATAGGGTCCTAAGTTTTATTACTAACAATTTCCTTCACCCTTGTGGCAATTACCTCTATTCATGAACAGTGCTATGTATATGTATAGGATTATTATGATATGCAAGTGGTACCTCCCATATGTTGCAATTCTGGTAATATATATTTATTAGAACTTTAATGCACAAATACATAAATAAAGGTGCACATGACGGACTTAACACCTTGAGTCATTTTCTCCGAGTCAACCATTGGGCAAACAGATATTCATGTAGGCGTGCATTAAAAAAATTGAATATAAATCTAAAAAAAAATTAAAATAAACAGAAGATCACTTTAATATGATTAAATATAAATACATATGCGAATATACTTATAAATTATAATACATAATATACATACATACATACAAATACAGATACAATTATAAATTTATCCAAATCAACAGTGAAATTCAGATGCATAGAGGAGGTTAATATCTCTGAAGTAATTAATTTCAAAACCCTCTCCTCATAGAACAAACTGGAACATAAATTACAAGTTAGCATCTGAAATATGTGAGACACATGTGTATAACATTACTAGGACTCATTTGTACTGCACAAACAACAAACATTTGAAGATATTGCCAAATGGAGCTGGAAATGCCACTACACATCTCCTTTGGAAAGTGCACACTCTAACACGAGGAGATAAAAACAATAGTTTCTTAGAATATCCTTCAATACTTGTCACTAAAGAGCCTAGCTTGTGTTTTAAAAATCTATGCAGTTCATATTGACATGTGTACAATTTTAGTGCAGGCGGGTGCAGCATTTCATTATTATCCATAAAAAAAAAATAGATTGGTTCATTTCATTAATTCATTGACCTATTGCCATTAACATTTGTTGCATAATGCTGTACATTGGATCCCCAAACCTATATAGAATAGTTATTTAATTTCTTCAGCTGGGAATTAAATTTGGTACCCATTTGTAAATTACTGTTCTATAAGATTGTTCTAATATAATTGCTATATGCATACCTAAAGATAATGTTCTTATTTTAGCTGACAAGCCTATACTTTCCATGATCATTTGAGTTGAATGATGTCAATGTGATTACTTGATTGATGGGGTTTGGAACTATGAAAGTTATGTATAATCTGATAGCATGGTGCAAATAAAACCTTTATTAACTCCTGTAATCACTATATCTCCTGGCTCATACGTTGTACTTGTGAACGAGTGCTGCTTGTTGGGACTGATCTGCTCCTGTTACTATGACTGATTTAATCTTATTGTATATATATATTAATCCTTACTAATAATATTATAAATGCGAAAGTAACTCTGTCTGTCTGTCTCGCTTTCAAGCTAAAACTACTAAACCGATTTAAATGACATTTGGTACACACATAGATTAGACCCTGAGAAAGGACATAGGCTACTTTTTAATGCGAAATAATGGTTGTAAGAGGTTGAATGGGGAGATGAGTTTGTATGGAAAATCGACATTTTTGCTAGCTAGAACAATGACACTTTTTTATAGCATATTGGTTTAGGTTATTGAATATTTTTTCTTTATTTGGTCAAGGCCACTATATCACGCGATCACAGCTAGTATTAATATAAATAAATTTGATCCTAATAAATCAGTGCTAGTTGGTAGTTTGTATTCACATGTTGTAACTTGAAAAATGTGAATTTGCAAGGATTATTTAAAAGTTTCTTGCTCTTTCTTCTTGTGATGAGAAGGCTTTCCGAATGAGCGGTAGATTAAAAAATTGTTATGACTATTCAGAAGTGCTTGAATTGAGTTTATTTGTATAGAGGATTTTCTATTCTATTCTATTCTATCAATAATGTCATTTGCTTCTTCTTTATCCCATTTATTTTGGGGTTGGTGTAAAATATTTTTATCTTCCATTCATCCCTGTTCACAGTCATCTTGTTATTTACACCATTTCTTGCTATATCATCTTTCACACAGTCCATACATCTCTTCTACTTGCAGTCATCTCATTATTTACTTCCTTTCTTACCATATCATCTTACACACTGTCCATCCATCTCTTTTTCAGCCTTCCTCTGATCTTATAACCATCCACATTCATATGTAACACCTTTCTTAAAATATTATATTCATTCCTACGCATTACACATAATATGCCCATATGTGACAAAGGAATCATTAAGACTAATACCTGTATTACTTTGTAATATCAGTTATTTATAGATAAGTAATCATAATAACATTCAGAGGAAGGATTTGATTTTTGTTTGTGACAGATAAACACAAAAAATTAAATATAATGCAAATTATATCACAACTAGTTGCTCACCCCGGATTTATGTGAGTGATCTAATGATGGAAATGAGACTAAATTTATTAATTGGCACATATTACAAAATGTAACAAAGAAAGAAAGAAAGAAAGATAATTGTTTATTTGGTACATAGCAATACTAAAAATATTTTTTAAGAAGAATTTTCTTAAAAGTTTATGTGATATAATCAATATTAGTGATAGATATATGTTATTATTAATTCTGCTCATTAATTTTCTGCTCATGCAAAAAAATAAATATTATTATTATTAAAATTATTATTGTTAATGTAAAAGTAGGCAAAGAAAATAATTTGAGTAATAATGTTATCTGACTGATAAGTATAATATCAAATTTATATAGTATGATATAAACAATATATTTAATAATGCACCTATTGAACTTTGATATTGTTATTACACTAATAAAAAAAAATGTATTTATTGGTGTCACCATGACAATTTTACAGCAACACTGTAAAACAAGATAAAAGTAGATATTTCCCAAGTTTGAATTTTAAAAATTATTAGAAACATGTATAATATTAATTTGAAAATAATACGAGCTGAGTTTATTGTCAGTTCTTTAAGCAGTTTTTAATTATATATTGTCAGATACCTGAACCTGTAGCACTGCGACCTACATAGATCTATTGTGCTCGCCCTTTTTCAAAGTTCCCTACCTAGACCCGTCAGGGACAAGAATTGAAGGACATTCTTAGGAGCGATGGTTTTTATCTCCACAGGAAAGAGTGTAAACTTTCCAAGGGAGATATTTCGTATATCGCATCAGTGGGCTACAACCACATAGGATGTGTAGTGGCGTTTCCTCTTCTGTTTGGCAGAATCTGCAGATTTTTGTCGTGCATAGGCCTAGGTAAGCCATATGCTTGTTCAACTTGCAGTGTCCTGAGGGCCCTAGTCATCATCCATATGTTGTTTTTACTCAATAGCAATAGTCTATTGGGGTATTTGTTCGAGTAGCCCGATATTAGGGCTTTTGGATGTGTCAATCCTGGCATTTCTTGCCAGTGATTTAGTGCTTCTCGTTTGATTTGAGATGTCCCAGTTGTCCCAACGAGGCACACCACAGAAGGGTTCGGGACCCAGTTGGGCGGTTTTTGCTCCTAACTTTGCCAGATGGTCGGCATTTTCATTGCCTACGATGTTTGAGTGCCCGGGGACCCATCTCAGTACAATATTATTTCTTCTTCCTACTTTATTTAGTAGCAAGATACAGTTTCTAATAAGTTTAGATCGGATTTCGTACGAGTGAAGTGCTAGTAGAGCAGCTTGACTGTCCGAATTAATTGTCGTAACTTGAATGACTCAATTTTCAAGAAACTTGTGTGTTGCTCTTTTAAATATATTGATTTAATTATATTTACATTAACAAGGATTAGGCATGCGACAATTAACATAGAAACCGCTACGCACTAATCTCTGTTCAATCAGATAACATTGTCAGCGCTATGAATTTTAAGTTAGATATTTGCTACAAATACATTATTATCATTTATAAATTCTTCAATTTTATAATAAGCATTTTTACAAAGTAAATATTTTATAAACATTTGAATTTTTTTTTCTGGCAAATTGAGTATAGACTAAAAAATTGTTAACAAAGCAACAGAAACAAGAGAAAACAATGGCAGCGTTATCGCTAATCCGATCTCATAAACCACATCGTAAACTACGTTTTAAGATAAAGCAGCTGTTAGTTTGCAGTTTATGGTGTTAGCCATATACAGGCATTAGTGGTACCATAATTCATTATCGACAATGTAAAAGATTATTTCCTTTAAAAAAATGCAATAGCATATGCTCGTGGTTACTATATTCTCCCTAATTTAATTTGAAAATTAATCTGTATATTGATATAACTAACAATGTAAAAGATGTTGTATGTTTTAGTATATTTGTATATAGGTAGAATAAAGACTTGGTATACGAAGAAAAAAAAATATATATATGTATATAATGTTATATCTGCCTCACTTATCTTAGTACTAAGCAGCTCTTCGTAAGTTGGTCTGGTAGAGGGGTGAGATAAGGCAGTCAAATTACATAATACTAGGCATAAAACTGGTGCTGGAAGGTGGCTGCTGGAAGGCGATGGATCCGAGGAGCGCAGGACCGATCGTCTTGGAGATCTTTGGGGGAGGCCTATGTCCAGCAGTGGACGTCTTCCGGGCTGCGATGATGACGATGATGAATCAATACGAATTAATAACATTAGTTTTATAAATACAAATTTTATACTGTACGGGGATAGAATGTAAACGCTACGAATGTGAGGCAGTGTACTAAACCACTAAACTACTAGACCAAGGTCGTCGATATACCAGTTGTGTTATATAATAGCTGCTATTAAGTGTAGTTTTGAGTTGAATGTGTGTTAATCAAACAGACAGTCATAATACTGCGAGACACAAACAAATATACATACACAACTAGGTGTTAATTTGATTAGTATAGCAGTATCCGGACACCATGTATGACATGTATGACAGTATATCAATTTCGTATTAATAATAGATTATAAATTATACATGTCAATGTTTTTAAGTAAGTACTCCTGAACGTATAGTATACCCTGGCCCCTGACTAATCCGGCCCCCCTTGTAATCCGACATAGTCTATTATTTATTATTTGACGACCTCGGTGGTCTAGCGGTCTAGCACACTGCTTTACGTCCGATGTTCGATGGTCGCGGGTTCGATTCCTCGCACGGCACAAACATTTGTATTCATGAGTGTGATTGTTTGTGTCGGTCTGGGTGTTTTCTATGTATATTATGTATGTATTTACGAAAAAAAAAATTATCTATATATTTGTATCAGTTATCTAGCACCCATAACACAAGCTTTAGCTAGCTTAACTTGGGTCTAGATGGCGCTGTGTGAATTGTCCCGAGATTATTATTATTATTATTATTGAATATTACTTTGACAATATACTTACCTCAGAGTGCATATACATACATACATATATAACATAGAATCTTATCACTGGATCTGTAATTTGTAGGATTACGAGATACTCTTTTGTAAAAAAATCCGGACTATACCCTTAGGCAGTACTCCATAATGCAACAAATTCGATGGTCCGACACTGCCCTGCAAAACGTTTGTCGGATAACCGGGGGTCCACTGTAGTAAGATCTACTATACTATGTAATGAGGATATCAAACCCGTGTGCTGGATGCTGCTGTTGTATTGGGCACATGCCTGTGATGATAGTGTATATATAAATAAATAAATAAATACTATGTGTACTAAATTTCTTTCGAAATTGTATAGTAGTTTTACCGAATTTGACGGGACTTTTATTGGCAGGTAGCTGATGTAATAAAGAGTAACAGGCTACTTTTATTTTAGAAAAATAAAGTTAAAGTCCACGCGGACGAAGTCGCGGGTACAGGTAGTACTACATAAGTCTGTATAACAATCTAAGCTAATGCAAATAATAAAAAAAAATAGAAAGAACATGCTATTATTAAATTAATAATAATTAATTTTTTTTTATTAATTATAGTTTGATTCATATGACTTGAAATAGCTGGACTGATTTTGACGGCACTTTTATTGGCAGGTAGCTAATGTAATGAGGAGTAACTTAGGCTACTTTTATTTTAATTCTTTTCATTAATAATGTAATGAGGATATCAAACCCGTGTGCTGGATGCTGCTGTTGTATTGGGCACATGCCTGTGCTGATAGTGTGTATATAAATAAATAAATAAAAACTATGTTTGTTTAGTAGTTTTAGCGTAAAAGAGTAATAAACATCTACACTTCTGTTTATACTCACAGTTTTATTGGCAGGTAGCTAATGTAATGAGGAGTAACTTAGGCTACTTTTATTTTAATTCTTTTCATCAATAATGTAATGAGGATATCAAACCCGTGTGCTGGATGCTGCTGTTGTATTGGGCACAGGCCTATGATAATAGTGTATATATAAATAAATAAATACTATGTGTACTAAATTTCTTTCGAAATTGTTTAGTAGTTTTAGCGTAAAAAAGTAATAAACATCTCCACTTCTGTTTATACTCACAGATTTAATAAGTTATACTTATAATTTCTTCTATTGTAGGGTGCACAGAAACCATTCGATACTGTGATTAAAGCGAACATCGGAGATGCTCATGCTATGGGCCAGCAGCCCATCACCTTCATCAGACAGGTAAGACTCATTACTTCATTGAATTACTCACTAATTCAATGAAATAATAAAGACATTTTATTATTTCATTGAATTAGTGCTAATCGGTGGTTTGTATTCACACACTTAAACTTAAATTGTAAGTGAGAATAAATTATTTAAAAGAACAACACACAAGTTTGTTGCTTGTTCTTCTTGTGATGAGACAGCATTCCGAATGAGCGGTAGATTAAAAAAAATGCTATGACTATTCAAAAGTGCTTCAATGTAAGTTTATTTGAATAAATGATTTTCTATTCTATTCTATTCTGCTTAAATGTCTCTATATTTTTGTAAGAATATGTTTGTATCATGCCTATGTCCAGCAGTGGACGTCTTCCGGGCTGCGATGATAATGATGATGATGTTTGCATCACGCGAGAATCGAAACCGCGACCCTATTATGTGAGGCAAAATGCTAAACTACTATTTCAATATCATTAGGAAAGGTAGATATTTTTCAAAATTACTAGTAACTACATTGATGTTTTAAACTATATTTTGTTGTAGAGAAACTTAAAATATAGTTTTAAAATTTTTGGTATGGTATCCTTTCTTATGATATAATATTATGGTCCCACCTGTTCAAGTCCCGACGGGCCGGGACTTTTCTTGCCAGGTATCTGATGTAATAAGGAGTAACTTAGGCTACTTTTATTTTAGAAAATTATAGTTAAATTCCACGCGGACGAAGTTGCGAGAACAGCTAGTATATAATATGATGAATTTAGCCTGCCCTAATTAACTAGATATTCACAAAGATATGAAAAGAATCCTTGTGCGTGGTTGTCAAATTGACAGGGAATTATTCCTAATCTAAAAGTAAAAAACGGTTATTTCAATATTACAAACAGACACTCCCATTTTATTTATATGTATGTATATATATATATATATAAATAAAATTGGAGTGTCTGTTTGTAATATTGAAATAACCGTTTTTTAATACATTTATATTAATATAAATACGATACATACAGCAAATTAACATTTTTGACTATTTTTGTCTGTCTGCTTGTTCCGGCTAATCTCTGAAATGGCTGTTCCGATTTTGACGGGACTTTCTTTGGCAGGTAGCTGATGTAATAAGGAGTAACTTAGACTACATTTTTATTTAGAAAAATACAGTAAAATTCCACGCGGGTCACGGTACTTGGCTAGTATTATTGATAAGTTTGTCGTGTCGTCTTTGAACATCTTATAAAAATCTGTCTGTGTGTTTGTTCCGGCTAATCTCTGAAATGGCAGGACCGATTTTGACGGGACTTTTATTGGCTTGTAGCTGTTGTAATAAGGAGTAATTTAGGTTACTTTTATTTTAGAAAAACTCTGTATTTTGGAAAAATAAAGTTAATAAAGTTAGTTATTATTAATATTAGGTCTTGTATATGATATCCATGAATATATTCATTATCCAATGCAATCGTTGCAGGTGATCGCATGCATCACTCTACCGGAATTGATAGAGAAAGGCGGGTACCCTGAGGATGTTAAGCAGAGGGCCCGTGATATATTGAACGGTTGTGGGTAAGTTGTATTTATTATTAAATATGATGATGATGATGATGACATATATTAGATACATGCACTAAAATGACATTTTTTACAATTTTTGTCTGCCTTTCTGTTTGTTCCGGCTAATCTCTGAAATGGCTGGACCGATTTTGACGGGACTTTTATTGGCAGGTAGCTGATGTAACAAAGAGTAACAGGCTACTTTTATTTTAGAAAAATAAAGTTAAATTCCACGCGGACGAAGTCGCGGGTACAGCTAGTACTACATAAGTGTGTATAACAATCTAATCTAATGCAAATAATAAAAAAAAATAGAAAGAACATGCTATTATTAAATTAATAATAATTAATATTTTTTATATTATGACTTGAAATGGCTGGGCCGATTTTGACGGGACTTTTATTGGTAGGTAGCTAATGTAATGAGGAGTAACTTAGGCTACTTTTATTTTAATTCTTTTCATAAATAAATTAAATCAAATTCCACACCGACGAAATCGCGGATACAGCTAGTAAATAAATAAAAATTGATTTTCTCATATCTTCCGAGTATAATCTCTGAAATGGCTGGACCGATTTTGACAGGACTTCCATTGGCAGGTAGCTAATGTAATGAGGAGTAACTTAGGCTACTTTTATTTTAGAAAAAATCTTTTATTTAAAAATAAATTAAATTTGATTAAAAAAACGAAATCACGGGTACATCTAGTAAATAAATAAAAATAGATTTTCTCATATCTTCCGAGTATAATCTCTGAAATGGCTGGACCGATTTTGACAGGACTTCCATTGGCAGGTAGCTAATGTAATGAGGAGTAACTTAAGCTAGTTTTATTTTAGAAAAATTCTTTTATTAAATAAATTAAATCAAATTCCACACCGACGAAATCGCGGGTACAGCTAGTCAATAAATAAAAATAGATTTTCTCATACATCTTCCGAGTATCAATAGGTTACATTGTTATCATATGTAAGTATAGATTATGTCGTTCGTTAAAGAAACTAGTAATTTTTTCTATTCTCACGTGCACACAATCGTTATATTTAATGACTTAGTTATTTTCGGCTCCACTGTAGCACTGCTAGTGTCATCTCATCACTCATATATCCATACCTATACAGTTTATATAATGCTTCACTACCAACATCGCAAATTTCAATCTTATGTACTCATAAATATAGTTCAATATCGCGTGAAGTGTTCTCTATGTATATTTATTACCTTTGTCGAAAAGCGATTTCAATCTTATGTGCTTGTAATAAAGTACAATTTTGCGTGAAGTCTTCATTATGTATATATTACCTTTACGTCAAGTCCAACACGGGATATCTTTTTTATGTAACTATGGGATATATTTGGCAACTCACCACAGTATATAGTCTGTGGTAGCTATTACACGTTGCCATTCCCGGGACCTTAGGTGTCATACTTCCATCTTATTTCTACATCTATACATATAAATAAAATTGGACTGTCTGTTTGTCTGAAATAACCGTTTTGTACTACATGCATATGAATATAAATATGGTACATACACCAAAATAACAGTTTTTTAAATTTTTGTCTGTCTGTTTGTTCCGGCTAATGTCTGTAATGGCTGTACCGATTTTGACGGGACTTTCTTTAACAGGTAGCTGATGTGATAAGGAGTAACATAGACTACATTTTTATTTTAGAAAAATACTGTTAAATTCCACGCGGACGAAGTCGCGGATACAGCTAGTAAATAAATAAGACTATGGATGATTGAAGAATATCAAAGTATTTTCGTTCGTTTCGTTTTTGAATCGCCGAAATTCATTGGAAAAAATTAATAAAATTAATTTTACCTGAATTCCGAAAGGGCGATAGAATATGACTATTCAAAAGTAAGCTTTTTATATATTTAATCGAATTAGATGTTATTTTGCGGTAATCCATTTCAATACTTGATGAATTTATATTATTTTGTTTAATTCCGCTACACTGGCCAAACCGCGACTTGGTCGCCGAAGAGTCACTAGTCTTCCAAGCTATATCCGAGCTCTATTCAATGCCTGATGATGCCACGTTCAGAGGCGAAACACGTGTCGCAATATGGGTATAGACTCAATAACGGTCGGAATTTGATCGCCACTAGAGAAGGTCGTAAAGGTAGTCAAGTTTCCACACCGAATATTTATATGTTCTTTATTGCACTTTTAAATACTGTTAAGTTACTCTGCGTGATCGAATCAGAAATGAGGAGATCCGCAGAAGAACCAGAGTGGCCGACATAGCCCGAAGAATTGGCATGTGCCCACATAGCTCGTAGGACATATGGCCGTTGGGGCAGTAAAGTCCTCGAGTGGCGACCACGGACCGGAAGACGCAGCGTGGGAAGGCCTCCAGCAAGGTGGACCGACGATCTGGTCAAGATCGCTGGAAGGCATTGGATGCGAGCAGCGCAGGACCGATCGTCGTGGAGATCTTTGGGGGAGGCCTATGTCCAGCAGTGGACGTCTTCCGGGCTGCGATGATGATGATGATGATGACTTTTAAATACAGTTCTAAACTTAAACATATACAGAGTGAGCAAAGGTGGACTTAACTCTAAGAGAGATCTCTACCAGTCAACCCAACAATGTGGCATAGCTAGTAGTGAGTAGGTAACACCAGTGCAATTAACACTATTATGTTGAAATGTCCAAAAGTTGAGAAAAATAAAACATTTAAAATTCAACAAATTAAATAAAGTTCTAATTATATTATAATTATAATAAGATATACAATAATAAATGAAATAAACATTAAAAAATACATACATATACAATTACTATAGATATCTACATATATTACACAAAATACAAATAATAAAATACACGATGAAACTAATCATACTAAGGTCGATAAATAGTGTGATTTCAACCTTTTCTTAAAACAACCAATTGATATTTGTGGTCTCACATATGCTAATTGTAGCGGAATTAAACAAAATATAAATCCATGAAGTGTTTAAGGACTTTTTAGCTTAGATTAAGTAAAGTTGAATAAAGATATTTTCTATTTCTATTTCCTTCAAGTGTAGGGTCAGTGTGGTGTCTATTTATTTGATTTGGTCGTCAGACGGAGGATGTGACCTCACGATGACCGTACAGTGATATTGAGTCGGCCATATCAATTACGACTTAGATAAGGGGACGATCAAACTCCATACCACGTTAGAACGTCAGCATGTACTCAATTGCTAATCATTTGTTTAAGTGTCTACTCATGGTAGTAAAATCGGTGGTTAGATAGCAGTTTATGGTCTTTTGTCAAGCCCACATTTAAAAGACCAGGATTAAAAGTACAAGAAACCACGACTATCCAGTTTATAAACTGAACGCAGTAATAGTGTTGCAATAGTTATATTAATGTGTTGTAAAATTCAAGTAATTATAATCAGGTTTTTAATAATAAGTAATTAATAAAATTATACTATTGAAAAACAGTGATTAAGAGGCGCGCATTCTTTAAAAACCCAGAACATTGCCAAATAACTATTCAGGACTTCCGAGGACACTTCAAGAACTAGGACATGTCCTGGTAAAACAGGATGGTTGGCAATTTTCTACCGCATATATCACGAGGAGTGTTCTGAGGAATTGTTAGGATTAATACCAGCTGCTGAGTTTCACCACCGTACCACCCGCCAGAAACTTGAAATACCATCCTGATCATCTGTATGAATGGCGGTCCTCCACAGTGCGGTTTTCTAGAAACTTTTTGCCACGCACAACCATATTGTGGAATCACCTTCCAGCAATGGTATTTCCGAACCGATACGATATTGAAACCTTCAAGAAAAGAGCTTATTCCTTTTTTTGCCGACAAAGTACTTGCAATTCCCCTGGTGTTCCGAGTGCTCATGGGCGGCGGTAATCACTTAGTATTAGGTGAGCCGCACGCTCGTCTGTCCCCTGACTAATAAAAAAAAACCAGCCTAGATGGTGACCTAGGGTAATATATAGATATATAAAGTTTATATCTACATACAAAAATAAATCGTATTTGATAATGGGTCTATCTAGTATTTTGCACTTTGTACCTATGTTTACTGTGCACTTTATTGTTTGTTTGTATTTGTACTGAACAGATTATAAGGCACACTACGGCCGGTATTTAATCTTGTACGGTACAAAAGTCCATAGGAATTAATGAGCGGTAAACAATGAAATTGCAATAGAATAAAATAATAATAATACAATATACCGCATGACGAGAACCTCGTGAAAGCCGAAACTGAGAAAAAGACAAAATATCTCGACCTGGCTCACGAGGTGAACGAAATGTGGGGTGGTGTCCACCGAAATCATTCCAATCGTTATATCGGTGAACGGTCTTAGCCCAACCAGTCTGGAACAACATCTCAGACGGTTGGGATTCCGGGGCGGCTCACTCCCGGGAAAGATAAAGAAAGCGGTGCTCTTAGATTCTGCCCGCATTGTACGCCGGTTTCTCTCCCTAGGGCCCTGAACCCCGGCCGACTGTGCTTCTACCGGGGGTAAGTTGCCATTTCCTCTCCTTAAGAGGGGAGATGAGATTTATTTTGGAAATATAAAAAATAATAATAATAATAAGAGGGGAGATGAGAATTTTTGTAATGTTTGAAAAATAATAATAATCACAGGACAATTCACACAGCGCCATCTAGGCCCAAGTTAAGCTAGCTAAAGCTTGTGTTATGGGTACTAGATAACTGATTCATATACATAGATATTTTTTTTTCGTAAATACATACATATTATACATAGAAAACACCCAGACCGATACAAACAATCGTAGTCATGAATACAAATGTTTGCCGTGCGAGGAATCGAACCCGCGACCATCGGTCGTAAAGCGGTGTGCTAGACCGCTAGACTACCGAGGTCGTCAAAATGATTAAATAACTACTGACTAGTTGACTAACCCAGAATGGGTTTTTTTTATAGCACCGGACAAACGAGATTGCGGTTCACCTGATGGTGAGTGATTACCACTGCCCATGACCACCCGCAACACCAGGGGAATTGCAAGTGCGGTGGTTGTGCGTGGCAAAAAGTTGATATAGAGTATAATGTAACATTTATTTAAAAGAGCAACACACAAGTTTCTTGCTCATTCTTCTTGTGATGAGTCTGCGTGGTATGAATGGTAGAATAAAAATATGTGCTTACATTAATTTTATTTGAATAAAGATTATATATATTTTTGCTTGAGCAGATTGGTCTGTTCAGGTTACGAACACTGATTACACTTTTTGCTTTTGCATATGCTGGTGGTCACTATATTCTGCAAAATATAAATTTAAAAGTATCTGTATTATTGTAAACATGTACAACATTTATTTGAAAAGAATACGAGCTGATTTTCTTGTCAGTTCTTCTCATCTCGAAATCATTCCGAACTGACGATTGATTTGACATATCATAAGTCTGTAATAGACCTACATGAATAAAGATAGTTTCTACTCTATTTTAGAGTACCATAGGGGGTCCCCACTCGAGAGCAGTGTAGTACATCTAGTATCAAATCGGTTCAAATTACAACGTAATCGATATTGATAACATACCAGTCTCCGTAACGTTATCACATCGATTGTCTGCAAATAGATATTTTAGATAAGTAAGATAATAAACTCTATTTTTACCAAATTCGTGATGGAGCTCTATTTATTCTTCATTTCAATTTAGGTGCTGTAGTAGAGACTAGGGTTTTTGAAAAATATTACCATATATAAGGTGACGGTTACCTCGTACTTTAAGATGAGGATCAAGTCGAATCAGTTAAATCGTTAATCTATCAGAAATAACCTACGATGGTTTCAACGGGAACCGTGGATTTTGTTGTCCTGTTCATTCATAAAGGAGGTCATCTTTAAATGATGTCACATTAATTCCATGATTTTTTATAACCTTGCCATGGTCTCATTTGTGAGATTCCCGTCCCTCCCTAATATGTGACGTCAGAGGCACTACTGATATTACATTGGTAGATAGGTACCTGCCAAGGATGTCAGTCGTACGAAAATCCTACAAACTGATTTGAGGAGAAGCTTTATGATTATATTCGTCGTCACCCGTAATACTTTTGAAATTTTGCCATCAGAGGGTTGATTAGAGGGTGTGTGGGATATTACCCATTAAAAAACCACACGGTGTACCTACGAACGTGACTCCGGCGTCGGTCCGGCCTGTAAACAGCCAGGCAGGCCCCATCTCGTTGTTTGGGCTACTTATTTTGCCCTCAATTGTGGAATACCGTGGGTACACGAGCACGATTCCGAGACTATGGTTGCCAACCCTAATCCTTGTAATTTGCTAATATTAAATACCAACTATATATATAGTATAGTATGTGCATCTTATTTTGTCCACATATAGCGTGTAATTTAACTAACAGCCTTGTTAGAAGTTATTGCAACCTTGAGACATATTGATTTGAAAATTGTTTGCCTGGCCAACCTGCTCTATGCATATAAGCCTGACCTAGATATAAGAATGAGTGTAATTTTAAGTCTTTGTATGCCTGAATTTTAGAAATAACTGACTCATGGTTTACGCAAATCAAAATATCTTTTTCCATGTGGTAGGTCTATTACGTATGTATTTTATTGGTAGTGTTAAGTATATACGGTCTCTGTCTTAGGCAAGAAATAGAAATAATAATAATCTCAGGACAATTCACACAGCGCCATCTAGTCCCAAGCTAAGCAGAGCTTGCGTTAGGTGTACTAAAAAACGGATATAAATACATGTTACATTTTTCTTAAATACATACATAACTTACATAAAAACATCCAGACCCGTACAAACAATAAATTAAATACAAGTGTGAGTAGCGTTCCAGGAATCGACAGGAGTTCCTCGACCATCGGAAGTAAGACGGTGTGTTAAATCGTCTCTGAGGATTATTCCCAATTAAATAGGGTATAGTTATTTATTTAACTTTTATTGACAAACAAATTATGGTTTAAAAGACGGACCTTAATGCTGTAGGCATTCTCTACCAGTCAACTACAGGTGGCTTAACATTGAATGTACAAATTACATTATTATTATTTATTTAAATAACTTTAATGCACGTCATACACAGGTAAAAAGTACATATGGCGGACTTAACACCTAATGGCATTTTCTACCAGGCAACCATGAGTTGTGCAGAGATAAGTTGTTGGCGGTGCAAGCAATATTATAATATTTTATAGAATATACATGAATAAATATATATATACACATGTAAATACATAAATATTCCTAATTATTAATATGTATGTGTAACGTTGCAGAGGCAAGTCTGTGGGCTCGTACACTGCGTCGCATGGTATCGAGCTGATCCGCCGCCACGTGGCCGAGTACATCGAGCGGCGCGACGGCCATCCCGCCAACTGGCAGGACATCGTGCTCTCCGCCGGAGCCTCCAACGCTATCAAGAACGTGCTGCAGCTGTTCTGCAACCAGATCGACGGCAAGAACTCGGGTGAGCGCTCTCTCTATTATAACTGAGTTGACTAAGAATACAAATCATAAACATGATTCTAAGGTAAGAATACAAATCATAAATCCGGCTCGAAGGACCAATGTTCGGTTTGTACCGAATCTATAAAATGATAAAAATTTTATTAATATTATAGATCTACAAAGCATACTCTCTATTATAATTGAGTTCATTAAGAATATCATTAGCATCATTAATATCATAGTATAAAACTTAGTCGCTGTCGCTATCTGTCCGTCCCTATGTATGCTTAAATCTTTAAAACTACACAACGGATTTTGAAGCGGTTTTTTTTAATAGATAGAGTGATTCAAGAGGAAGTTTTATATATATAATACATGTACACCTGGGCGAGTAGCTAGTAAATGATAAACATCATTAACATACATAGGGACGGACAGACAGCGACTTTATTTTATACTATATAATGATAACTATATTAATATACGTAAATAATTGATCACCTGATGTTATGTAAAGATAACAGTTCACCTTGATATGGTAGCGTTAGATATATTATCGTAATAGACTTGCATTATATACACAACGATCTAACTATATATACAATGGGTTTTATAATAGGTACTTTGCTATTACTAGCGTGTATAGTTAGCGCAACCGGTGTATTGATTGAAAAACATAATATAAAAAACGTCCTAAAAAAATTCTTCAATATTTCATTATAAATCAAAATAATAGTAATAATAAAACTAGCAAAGGCTGAGGAAGTTTAGTGTAAAGAATAATAATAATAAAAGGATATAATATCGGTTACACAATAAGTATACACACATTCATACATACACACACACTGCACTTACTTGGTTTCAGCCCGTAAGTGTGGTATACGCTATAAACCGTAAAAAACCAGCAAAGGCTGAGAAAATTTAATGTAAATAATAATAATAAAATAGAAATAGAAATGGAAATAGAAGTAGAAGTAGAAGTAGCAATAGAAATAGAGATAGAATAAGAAATAATCTTTATTCAAATAAACTTAATATAAGCACTTTTGAATAGTTTTTTGATGCTACCGCTCATTCGGAATGCAGACTCATCACAAGAAGAATGAGCAAGAAACTTATGTGTTGCTCTTTTAAATATATATTGATTTACTTATATTTGATTAACAAGGATTAGGCATGCGATAATCAACATAGAAACCGCTACGCACTTACGTATACACACACACACACACACACACATACTCATACATACACACACACACACACACATACTCATACATACACACACACACTGCACTTACTTGGTTTCAGCCCGTAAGTGTGGTATACGCTTTCAAGCGTAGAAAACCAGAAAAGGCTGAGAAAAATTAGTGTAAACAATAATAATAATAAAATAGAAATAGAGATAGAGTTAGAGATAGAGGTAGAAATAGAAGTATACCGGTTACACAATAAGTATACACACACACACACTGCACTTACTTGGTTTCAGCCCGTAAGTGTGGTATACGCTCTCAAGCGTAGAAAACCAGAAAAGGCTGAGAAAAATTAGTGTAAATAATAATAATAATCTTCATTTACTGCTCACAAGGAAACTTACAATATTAACCAGATAAAGAAATCTATATATATATATAACTCACAAGGTGACTGACATAGTGGTCTATCAACGCACAGCCCAAACCACTGGACGGATAGGGTTGAAATTTGGCATGCAGGTAGATGTTATGACGTAGGCATCCGCTAAGAAAGGATTTTGATTAATTCTACCTCCAAGGGAATAAAATAGGGGATGAAAGTTTGTATAAAGATAGATTTTCGACTGATTAAACTGAAATTAAAGATTGGAGCTACTATGATGAAGACGTTCGCTTAAATAGGATATTGATAAATTCAACCCCCATGGGGATAAAATAAGGGATGATGCAGGATGTAAATGTATTAGTTTGAACCTATCAGCACCTAATGGAACGAATAAATTAAGACAAACAAAATAATTTTTAATACTTTAGGCTACTTTTATTTTAGAAAAATAAAGTTAAATTCCACGCGGACAAAGTTGCGGGAACAGCTAGTTATGTATATAGACACATTGGAGGTACCAAGGGGATAAAATAGGGGATGAAAGTTTGTATGAAACTTTATACTTACTTGGTACTTTGTCAATTTTAAACCGATCGGACTGAGACTTTGCATGCATAAAGCTACTATGACGTTGGCATCTCCTAAGAAAGGATTTTGATAAATTCCACCCCTAAGGGGAATAAATTAAGGCAAAAGCTAGAAAAAATATATATTTCAACTTACAAGTTATGTCCTGTGAGAGTTTGGAGTCTGAACTAAGTTGCAACCTGTACTACAGATCTCCAGGCTCTCTCCGAAGACTTACTGTGCTATTTAATAAATGATCTTAAAAAATATTAATAAATGTTTTTGTGAGGTAAATTCTATATTTATAATGTAAGAAATGAAGATGTATTGCACAGGGTGAGAGAAAGTGGCACGAGCTCCATCGACAAGAGCATTGCTTTTAAATTTATGAATAAACTACTCGTAGCTGTGTCTGTTTGTAATATTGAAATAACCGTTTTTTACTACATGCATATGAATAAATACGATACATATACACACCAAAATAACATTTATTACAATTTTTGTCTGTCTGTCTGTTTGTTAGTTCCGGCTAATCTCTGAAATGGCTGGTCCGATTTTGACGGGACTTTCTTTGGCAGGTAGCTGATGTAATAAGGAGTAACTAAGACTACTTTTTTATTTTAGAAAATTACAGTTAAATTCCACGCGGACGGAGTCGCGGGTACTAGTCTAGTGTTATTCATAAGTTTGTCGTGTCGTATTAAGTTCTCCAATAACTTCATTATCTTCGAACATCTTATAAAAAAGTAATTAGATTTTTTTATTGTAAAATCGCTGGGTATTTAGGAAAGATGAGTCGAGGCTGAAGGTGATTGGCCTTTGTAATTAAATTAATTATGTTTTTGTTTTATTTTTTACTAACTACTCGCCCCGGTTTTGCACGGGTGTATATGTATTATACATATAAACCTTCCTCTTGAATTACTCTATCTATTAAAAACCGCTTCAAACTCCGTTGTGTAGTTTTAAAGACTTAAGCATACATAGGGACGGACAGACAGCTACAGCGACTTTGTTTTATACTATGTTATGATGTGGTATGTTTTAAGATGTGTTCTGATGTTATAATGTATGTACACTAATATTTACAGATCAGTGTGTTTGTTTGATCGCACTAGTCCACAAATGTCCGTTCAATTTGAAAATTTATATGTGGGAGTGAGGATTTGGAAATAATAGAATATTAATAATCTATACGTCTATACATATAAATAAAATTGGAGTGTCTGTTTGTAATATTGAAATAACCGTTTTTTACTACATGCATATGAATATAAGTTCGGTACATACACCAAAATAACATTTATTACTGTCTGTCTGTCTGCTTGTTCCGGCTAATTTCTAAAATGGCTGGACCGATTTTGACGGGACTTTTTAGGCAGGTAGCTGATGTAATAAGGTGTAACATAGGCTACTTTTATTTTAGAAAAGTAATATTAAATTCCACGCGGACGATGTCGCGAGTACAGCTAGTAATATATATAAATATTTTCGTCTCTCTGTCTGCTTGTTTCGGGTAATCTCTGAAATGGCTGGACCGATTTTGACGGGACTTTTTAGGCAGGTAGCTGATGTAATAAGGAGTAACATAGGCTACTTTATTTTAGAAAAATAATGTTAAATTCCACGCAGACGAAGTCGCGTGTACAGCTAGTAATATTTATAAATAGGTACATATATATTTATATATAAAAATTACGTGTCACATTGTTTGTCCGCGATGGACTCCTAAATTACTTGCAAATTTGATGTTCATATAATGTGCAATTTAATCCAACTTGAAGAGTGTATAGTGTTAAAAGTCTTATAACCAGGTAACCCGGGTGTGACGTAGTGACCGTCAAAGTGCCCGCGCGCCGGTCACTCGTTAGCGTGTGACCTTGCGCTCTATAATTGACTAGTTGTCACGTTTTTATTACGTCACACTGTGGATTGTTACCGGCCGTATATATGTACATAACTACATACTATATTCTATCGCGTGCTTTTTCATCCATGATCGATATAGTTAAAAATAGAAAATTCTTTTAAATATTATGTACCAGCTACTCGCCCCGGCTTCGCCCGGGTATACATGTATTATATATATAAACCTTCTAGAATCACTGTATCTATTAAAAAAACCGCTTCAAAATCCGTTGCGTAGATTTAAGTATACATAGGGACGGATAGACAGCGACCGCGACTTTGTTTTATACTATGTAATGATAATATAATAAAAATCTGGTTTCCGTACAATGGAAGATATGTGAGATACGGCTCCCCGCTTTTCTATTCTATTCTATTCTATACAAATCAATATACAAATTTTCTATTCTATTCTATATCAATCAATCAAATTATTATTCCATTCAATAATAATAATAATCTCAGGACAATTCACACAGCGCCATCATCATAATACAAGCTTTATCTATCTTAACTTGGGTCTACCAAGTTAAGATAGATAAAGCTTGTATTATGGGTACTAGACAACTGATACATATACATAGTTTTGTTTCGTAAATACATACATATTATACATAGAAAACACCCAGACACAAATACAAATGTTTGTGCCGTGCGAGGAATCGATCCCGCGACCATCGGATGTAAAGCGGTGTGCTAGATCGCTAGACCACCGATGTCGTCCTGAAGATACTTTAACTAAAATGTAATAAATTTTGAATACTCATACTTTTTTTTATTTACCTCTAGCTGTACCCGTGACTTCGTCAGCGTGGAATTTAATTTAATTTTTCTATAAAATAATCTATTTTTTTTTCTAAAATAAAAGTAGCCTAAGTTACATTACAGCCTAATTACATCAGCTACGTGCCAATAAAAGTCCTGTCAAAATCGGCCCAGCCATTTCAGAGATAAGCCGGAACAAACAGACAGACGAAGCCGCGGGAACAGCTAGTTATATATTATATTTAAAACAATTGTATATACATCGCATTACTATTTTTACATTTATATAATATAACAATATATTAACTATATATTTCTCTCTTGTCCTCTTAATTCTCTATAATATTAAGTTTTTAAAAATTTTGTTTTTTACATTTCGGCGCCAAAATATTTATTATTTTTTATTTTTGAATTTATGCACACTAAGGGACATCCTCCATACAGCTATATTGGTATTATAAACTCTTATTATTTTTATTTATCAATATATAAATCGTAGGATATTTAACATTAATTCATAACATTGTTCAACGATTTTTAGCCTATATATTGACCGTAGGTACGGCCCTAAGCAATCTTTAAAAAACATACTCGCTTGTTACATTGCCACACAGACAGCTTTCGCCAATCACAATTGTTATTTGTTAAATAATAACAGCATAGCTACAACATTAAAACTAGAAATGTGAATATGTTACAGGCGTTATGATCCCGATCCCGCAGTACCCTCTATACTCTGCCTCGCTGGCGGAGTACGGGCTGGAGCAGGTGGGGTACTACCTCGACGAGGACAACAACTGGGGACTCGACGTGGCCGAGCTGGAGCGGTCCCTCGCTGAGGCGGAGAAGACCACCAAAGTGCGGGCCATTGTCATCATCAACCCCGGCAACCCCACCGGACAGGTGAGACCCCATCTATCTTTATGCATTCAACCCCACCGGACAGTTGTGACCCCATTTACCTCTATGTATTCAACCCCACCGGACAGGGTCACCCCTGTCCGGTGGGGTTGAATACAAACCGACCGGCCGTAGATAAAAGGATGAATGCATACCGATCTATCTCTATGCATTCATCGTTTTATCTACGGCCTTGGTAGTATAGCGATATAGCACACCGTCTTACTTTCGATGGTCGCGGGGTCGATTCGTCGGCGCAAACATTTGTATTCATGAGTCTGTTTGCATCGGTCTTGGTGTTTATATGTATAATATGTATGTATTTATGAAAAAAGAAATATATCTATGTATTTGTATCAGTTATCTAGTACCCATAGCACAAGCTTTAGCTAGCTTAACTTGGGTCTAGAGGTCGCTGTGTGGATTGTCCTGAGATTATTTTATGGAAGTGCTATGGAAGTGCACACAGCGCCATCTCGTCCTAAATTAAGCACAGCTAGTGTCATGGGTATTAGGCAACTGATGTAATATTTTTTTTTATTGTAAATGCATATATAATACACATAGAAAACACATAAACCAATACAAACACATTCATGAATACGAATGTTTGTACCCAGCGAGGACTCGAACCCACAACCTTTGAAGGTAAACCGCTGGACATATATGTATGCATTATAATAAAAAAAGTATGTCTATCTGTAACCTAGCAAGCAACAAGGAATACTTCGTTTAGAGTGTTTGAAATAGTTCCAAATGTATAATATTAATTCACTCCGTGCAAACTAGATGGCGCCACAGGTAAATGTAGATGGCGCTATTAAGATTTTTTTTGTTTTAATGACCTCCCTTAGTGTTTTTTTCTTTTTAATAAATTCCTATCATCCCTATTGAATGGTAGTTTCAATTGGAACCCTTAATAGCAGCTTTGGGACCTCACGATACCTATTTGTGCTAGTTAGTTTGTATCTAGACAACACGTAGATTATTTACTAAACAAATGTATGTTTTATTGCACAGTATAGAAATAATTTTTAACATTCACAATGACTAGACAGATATCCATTGTGAACAATGAACCAATTACTTCATAAAATCAAAAAAACGGCAATAAAGATTACTGAAACGAAAACATACTCTATTTAGAAACGAACCCATAAAAAATACATACGAACACACAATCTAGAGATAATAAACTAAATGAACTGACGTCTAACCTCGTTTGACATTTCATCATCTAAATATGATATATGATTACATACTATATATAGTATGTTATCATATATCATATTTAGATGACGGATGAGCGGACGAAGTCTCGGGAACAGCTAGTAAATATATTATACTAGCTGATCGTCCGCGTGGAATTAAATTTTAATTTTTTAAAATAAAAGTAACCTAAGTTACTGCTTATTACATCAGCTACTTACTATAAAAGGTCCCGTCAAAATCGGTCCAGCCATTTCAGAGATTAGCCGGAACAAACAGATAGACAGACATAAATTGTAAAAAATGTTATTTTGGTGTATGTACCGTATTTATATTCATATGCATGTAGTAAAAAACGGTTATTTCAATATTACAAACAGACACTCTAATTTTATTTATATATTCCTGGTGAATTGGCCACGGTGGACTGATCTCATGGCCATCCTATCATTGCAAATGCAAATAGTGTAATCAGTGTTCGTGACCCGAACATTCATTTTTTTTTATGTGTATCTGTATGTAGTAAAAAAACCGCATCTTAGTTTTTTTTATGAGTAATGGGGGCTGCCTGAAAACCAGCGCTGTATAGCTGCACCTCATTGAGGTTGTACTTATATCAGCAACAGCTGAGGCAGCTCCTATTGACAACTTCTATGTTATTATTTACTTCTTATTTTGTGTCTTATTGTAAATTGTATTATTTGTGTTATGTTGGCAATAAATCAATTATCTATCTATCTAAATATATATAACTCAAAGGTGACTGAAGGATGGAGACCAAGATGACGAGCAAAAAGTAAAACGGCACCGTTGTAGATGAAGAATATTTTTGTATTAAATAGACTTATGTCATATAAAACAATATAATATTATAAAAATATAGACAATAAAAAGGTATATAAAATAGTTTCCAACAGTGACTGACATAGTGATCTATCAACGCACAGCCCAAACCACTGGACGGATCGGGCTGGAATTTGGCATGCAGATAGATGTTATGACGTAGGCATCCGCTAAGAAAGTATTTTGATTAATTCTACCCCCAAGGGGATAAAATAGGGGAGGAAAGTTTGTATGAAACTTTGTCAATTTTAAACCGATCGGACTGAGACTTTGCATGCATAAAGCTACTATGTCGTAGGCATCCCGTAAGAAAGGAAACAAAAGTAAATCCGCAAAAACTATACCTAACTAAGACCGCTAGGAGACCTCGGTGGTCTAGCGGTCTAGCGTACCGCTTTACGACCAATGGTCGCGGGTTCGATTCCTCGCACGGCACAAACAATTTGTATTCATGAGTATGAGTTTGTATTGGTCTGGGTGTTTTCTATATATAATATGTATGTATTTACAAAAAAAAAAATCTATGTATAATATATATATATATATATGTATCAGTTATCTAGTACCCATAACACAAGCTTTAACTAGCTTAACTTGCGTCTAGATGGCGCTGTGTGAATTGTCCTGAGATTATTATTATTATTATAATTAATAATAATACTTCTTAACGCGAGCGAAGCCGCGGGAAAAAGCTAGTTTATCTATATTTGTCTTTTTTTTTTATTTTATTTATTTATTTAATTCAGGCTACATGGCCCATATTATAAATACCTTATAGACTAACATACATAAGAAATAATAATAAAATATGAAAAATAAAATTGTCTCTATGGTCACGGCACTGACGACGGCAATCTGCCACGGTAGCGCCGATAGACCACCCCCTTCGGCCAGTAGTCCTCCTTCATGAAGGAGGACTACTCCTTTTTAACCCGAATTATTATTATTTCTGTTGTATTCCAGGTGCTGACACGGGACAACATTGAGTCCATAATAAAGTTCGCCCATAAACACAACCTGTTCGTCTTCGCTGACGAGGTGTACCAGGACAATGTGTACGCCAAGGGTAGCAAGTTCTTCTCCTTCAAGAAGGTATGTAACGTAGCTATTGTATACACCAGCTAATACGCTAATGATTTTACCTAAATGTCGTTTGGCTAAAGTTAGTAATTCGTTTTATGGCAATTGCGTAAGGTTTTACAATAAAATACCAGAGTCTGTTATAAATCTGCCAGAAACAAGATTTAAATGTCAAATAAAACACTTCCTTTGCAAAAAAGCTTACTATAAAATTGAAGAATTCGTTAACGATAATAATGTTTTTGTAGAAAAAATTTAAATACATAGCACTGACAATATTATCTGATTACACTAATAATGAGTGCGTAGCGATTTCTATGTTGATTGTCGCATGCCTCTTACTTGTTACACTGTAATTATTTATATAAAAAAAACATCTATTAAAAAGAGCAACACACAAGTTTCTTGCTCATTCTTCTTGTGATGAATCTGCATTCAGAATGAGCGGTAGAGTCAAAATATGACTATTCAAAAGTGCATGTAATGAGTTTATTTGAATAACGATTTATTTCTATTTCTATTTCTATTACGCACTGCCAAAGAGTGGAACACACTTCCAGCTTTTGTGTTCCCGGAGAAATAAAACCCCGGATTCTTCAAGTCTATGGTGAATAGATCTTCTGGCTAAGCGCTCTACATCCTAGGTCTTACCATCATTTACCATCAGATGAGGTAAGACCAAGCGCAATCCCATTATTAATAAAAAAAAGCTGTATCCCTGAATCTCTATATACAGGGGCAGTCAGAAAGAATAGAATAGAATAGAAAATCATTTATTCAAAGAAACTTAATTTAAGCACTTTTGAATAGTCAACATTTTTTTTAATCTACCGCTCATTTGGAAACCTGTCTCATCATAAGAAGAATAAGCAAGAATAGAATAGAATAGAATAGAAAATCATTTATTCAAATAAACTTAATTTAAGCACTTTTGAATAGTCAACATTTTTTTTAATCTACCGCTCATTTGGAAAGCTGTCTCTCACATCACAAGAAGAATAAGCAAGAAACTTGTGTGTTGCTCTTTTAAATAATCCTTGTAAGTTCACATTTTACAAGTCGAAACGTGTGAATACAATCTACTAACCACCACTAACTTATTTAGGCTCAAATATAAAACACAATAAGATTAAATCAGTCGTAGTGATAAGACCAGACCAGTCCCTACAAGCAGCACTCGTTCACGAGTATGACGAATGAAAGGGTAAGCGTATCTATCTATATTATTAATTACTAGGTGATCCAGCAAACTTTGTTTTGCCATATAAATTAAAATCGCTTTTAAAAATTAGGGTTTTAATTGTAGGGTTAAAATATTAATTATTGTTGGACCTCTAGAGATATTGAGTGGATTACATATATAGCAGTAAGTATAATTTACTTTTGTTCCGATCACAGTTGCACGTTACATACAAACTGTTACTTAGCAACGATACTTATTTTAAATGTGATGGATTATACTATTTCTACTTAAATCAATGTGCCTAATACAGTCCCTTAATCCATTATATTTAAGACACTCTACATCTCTACATTTAAATAACATACATAATATAAAACAATATACACAACCACATTGTAGAATCACCTTCCAGCAATGGTATTTCCGAACCGATACGATATTGAAACCTTCAAGAAAAGAGCTTATTCCTTTTTAAAAGGCCGACAACGTAGGCAATTCCCCTGGTGTTGCGGGTGCTCATGGGCGGCGGTAGTCACTTACCATCAGGTGAGCAGCATGCTCGTTTGTCCTCTGTGTTATAAAAAAAAAATACAGAAGAGTAAATAATAGAACAATAGTAGCACAGAAGAGTAAACAATAGAACAATAGTAGAAAAAACATATCCAAAATTAGATCTGTTAAAATACTAAACACTAATTATAGTTGGACCTATACCCTATAACCTGATGGAGGTATTCAGTGGATTACACATTCATTCATTCATTCATAATTTAAGAGCTACACTCTTGTCGGTGGAGCTCTTACTCACATATGGATTACACATATATAGCAGTAAATATAATTTGTTCTCGTTCCGATCAGTTGCACGTTGCATATAAACTGTTAGTTAGCAACATGATTACTTATTATAAATGATAGATTAAACTTTTTCTTCTTAAATCAATGTGCCTAATATATTTTAATTAAAAAAAAAGTGGCTATATCTCTGACTACCGAACTTGAGATAACAGTTGCGGAGATATGTTATCCGTAAAAGTTAAATATACAATGTTAATTACATCGATAACTGGCTGTAACTTGTAACTGTAATGAAGTGTGAAGTGTGTAATCGGCAAACAGTTACGCAGATATTAATCTATACATATAAATAAAATTTTAGTGTCTGTTTGTAATATTGAAATAATAATTTTTTACTACAGGCATATGAATATAAATACGGTACATATACCAAAATAACATTTTCTATATTTTTGTCTGTATGTTTGTCCCGGCTAATCTCTGCAATGGCTGGACCGATTTTGACGGGACGAAGTCGCGGGTACAGCTATTATATAACTAAAATAACTAAAAGTACCGTCAAAATCACAGATTAGCCGGAACAAACAGACAGACAGACACACAAAAATTGTAAAAAATATTATTTTGGTGTATGTACCGTATTTATATTCGTATGCATGTAGTAAAAAACGGTTATTTCAATATTACAAACAGACATTCCAATTTTATTTATATGTATACTAACTACTGGTTCCAGCTTTGCACGGGTGTACATGTATTATAATAATAATAATAATAATCTCGGGACAATTCACACAGCGCCATCTAGACCCAAGTTAAGCTAACTAAAGCTTGTGTTATGGGTACTAGACAACTGATACAAATACATAGATATTTTTTTTTCGTAAATACATACATATTATGCATAGAAAAACCCAGACCGATACAAACAATCATACTCATCAATACAAATGTTTGTGCCGTGCGAGGAATCGAACCCGCGACCATCGGACGTAAAGCGGTGTGCTAGACCGCTAGACCACCGAGGCCGTCATTATATATAAACCTTCCTCTTGAATCACTCTATGTATAAAAAAACCGCTTCAAAATCCGTTGCGTAGTTTTAAAGATTTAAGCATATAGGGACGGACAGACAGCGACAGCGACTTTGTTCATAGTATAGAACAAAGTAATGATGATATAGACTTAATTATGTTGATTAATTAGTTTCAAATTATGCATTACAATGTGTCCGGGCCGTGCACGTGGGTGCGGGTTGAGGTCGCTCCCAACGTCATTACAGATAACTTGCGATTATTGACATGGGATTCGTTTTTTCTTTTCAATGTCAAATAAACTTAGAGATGAGACAACTCGAGTTAACTCGAGTTGCGCATAATTCGAGTTAACTCACAGTATGCACAGCGATCGTTGTATTCAAGTGTACTAACACGAATGGAGCGTGGTTCCAGGTGCTGACCGAGATGGGCGCGCCGTACTCCGGCGCGGTGGAGCTGGCGTCGTTCATGTCGGTGTCCAAGGGGTACATGGGGGAGTGCGGGCTGCGAGGAGGGTGGGCCGAGCTGGTCAACCTGCGGCCGGACGTGCAGGCACACCTCTACAAGGCCATCTCCGCCATGCTCTGCCCCACCACGCTCGGGCAGGCCGCCGTCGACTGCACGGTGAGGGACATACACACACACACACCTCTACAAGGCCATCTCCGCCATGCTCTGCCCCACCACGCTCGGGCAGGCCGCCGTCGACTGCACGGTGAGGGACATACACACACACACACCTCTACAAGGCCATCTCCGCCATGCTCTGCCCCACCACGCTCGGGCAGGCCGCCGTCGACTGCACGGTGAGGGACATACACACACACACACCTCTACAAGGCCATCTCCGCCATGCTCTGCCCCACCACGCTCGGGCAGGCCGCCGTCGACTGCACGGTGAGGGACATACACACACACACACCTCTACAAGGCCATCTCCGCCATGCTCTGCCCCACCACGCTCGGGCAGGCCGCCGTCGACTGCACGGTGAGGGACATACACACACACGCACGATTTTTCTCTACCACCCAGTTCGGTGTACAAATTAAATTGAGAAGAACTGGCAAGAAACTTAATTACATCTCTTATTTTTTTAAAAGCCAATATATTTACAATGTATAGTTATATATGTGTTTATGTCTAACATTACATTACAATCCCGTGCATGAACAACTATTGCTATGGTAAATATAACAATCAAGACTCTTACTACAACATAACTAACTAACCAGCAAGCAAATACCGTCCACGAATATGACGAATACCACTAATCACGAGTGTTAACAGGCGCGGCCACCGAGAGAGGGAGAGCCGTCATACGCGCTGTGGAAGAAGGAACGTGACGGCGTACTGTCGTCTCTCAACCAGCGCGCGCACATGATCGCAGACACCTTCAACCAGATGGAGGGCTTCCACTGCAACATCGTGCAGGTCAGGACAAAAAGACCAATCTTTTTTCTCACACGACGAGATCTATAGTCTTCCCCCTCCTTCAGAAAACAATGCGATCTATCGTCTTTCCATTCCACAGGAAATCATCCACTCCCCATGAAAACAACACGATGTTGTTGGCCTTCAGCCGCTCCATAACTCCTTCCTTTGGCTTGGAGTGCCATCTGCACTCGCCGCTATCGTTCGGTGAAGCTGTAAAGGCCAGCTGCGGCCAACAGCATTAGAGTAGTCAGAAAATATACACATATTACTAACATCATGCCTGATAACCGTTATTCTCGATTCCAGGGTGCCATGTACGCGTTCCCACGCTTCGAGCTGCCTCCGAAGGCGGTGGAACAAGCCAAGAAAGAGAACAAGGCTCCCGATGTATTCTATGCTTTCAAATTGTTGGAAGAGACAGGTACTATACTGTTATACGAGGGTCAAACTGAAAGTTCTTAGAAAATCAAAAACTGATTAAATTAGCAAGTTATTACCTATATTTTATCTTTTCAAAATAGTGTCCATTCACGTCAATACATCGCTGCATCCGATAGAACCACTGAGAAAAACACTTTGCCCACTCGTCCTTAGGGGTCTCTTTGACGGCCTTCTAAAACGTAGCCACCGAATCCTCGGCGTCCATAAAACGTTTTCCTCGAACTTTTTCTTTCATTTTTCGGAATAAATAAAAATCGCAAGGTACGAGGTCGGAGCTGTAAGGCGAATGACCCAGTGGTTCTACGTCTGAGGTCGCCAAATAATCGATCATTTGCCTGGCGGTGTGCGACGAAGCATTGTCGTGGTGAAGGAGGATCCTACTGCGAGGTCGTTTCTCACGCACATTTTTCAAAACACGTGGCAAACAATTGTTACTGTACCACTCTGCAGTAACTGTTTTTCGATCCTCTAAAACAATTGCCGCGTAATGACCTGTTCTTCCAAAGAACGAGGCCACCATCTTTTTTCCTATGCTTCGACCTCCCTTCACTTTAGTTAGCAACTCCTCAGAAGGAAACACCCACTGAGCTGACTGTCTTTAATTTCGGGATCATAACAGTAAATCCAGCTTTCGTCTCCCATAACTATGTTAAACACAGAATTTGAGTCACCTCCGTTAAATCTTTCATGCATTTCACGGCACCAATCAACCCGACGGAGTTTTTGAGCCTCAGTGAAATTATAAGGTATCCACCGGGCACAAGGCTTCCTGACCGCCAAATGTTCATGGAGGATTTTGTGCACTTGACTCATACCAATCGTTAAGCTTGCCCGGATCTGCTAATAGGTCACTCTTTTGTCAGTCTCTATCATACGCCGCACAACATGGATGTTATCTTCGGTTGTCGCCGTAGAAGGCCGTCCCTCACGCAAATCATCGGTGAGATTAGTGCGACCACGTTTAAACTCATTAAACCAGTTGTAAACAGTGGCACGAGACGGGGCTTCATCGTGGAAGTCCAATAGTAGTCTATCATAACTTTCTTGTTGACTTAGATGACATCGAAAGTCATAAAAAATCATCACACGAAAATTTTCTCGTGTTAAGTTCATGATAACGTTACACAGACTATTTTCAATTTGCCGCCAAACCGTAAAACACATGACATACGAATAAATTATATACTCAGTACTGTTCGTAAAAAGTTCCATTTTCAAAATTTTAACAATTTTTTTTATTATATTGCTCTCAAGTAGCCAGTTCTAAAAACTTTCAGTGTAGCCCTCGTACTAGCTGTATACTGCGGCATTGGCCACGAGATTTCAGGTATCAAGTGTCCTACGTGATTGGACACACAATATTCTTCTGGGTGTGTGAATTGGAATGTTTGTGAGTGAGGAGAGAGGCGTGCGTGAGAGAGAAAGCTTGCGGAAATAAACAAAAGAGGTGTATATTTAAACATTGAATATAGTGTAGCGTAGTATAACGTAGCATAACGTATAGGTGAGTAAATGGGAGATTGCGGAAATAAGAAAAATATAATACGTTCTTTAAAATATTTTTTATATATAAATATTTACACGTTAAAGACCACATGCCCACTGGTGGGTTACTCAGTAACAACATTACCGGCCCGCGTGCCCACGGTTGGCCACACCACATGTTTTACCTGGGAACCACTTGTAAAACATGTGGTGCAAAGCATGAATTAAACATGACTAAAATTTCAATTTATGTACACAAAGTACAACAGTTTTTTTTATTTTGATACATATTATTATTGTTGGATTACGAATCCTTATAAATTAATATATAAAGGAGAGAGTGGACTGTATTTATTGAAAAGAAAATAATTAATGGAAAAGGAAGTAAAAATACGATTTCGACCTGGAAGAACGTCTTCCACACTCCGAACACCCCAAAGTAAGCAATGTAACACCAAACTTACTCACCTTTGCTCAGGAACGTCCCGATGTGTAGTACTGTTTAGTGGCCACGCACTCTACAGTGTATATTTTCATCAAAAACAATTATATTGTGTTAAATAATTCCTTAATAATCTTGTTTTATATAGATAAAAATACGGAGCGTCCTTTTTGTTCCAGTTCTTATTTTCAATTGTTTTATTATTATTTTTTTGAAATTTAAGTGGCCACATGTTTTTATATGTGGCCAGTATTACCGAGCGCCCTTTGCTCCAGTAAGCAAGCCGGTGATACAACCTGCTTAGACTAAGGAGGTTCGGAATACGGAACACATATAATAATAAGATTTATTTATTTCTCCTCACAAACATGATGGCAACAATACATGTAGTATTTTTTATAGTAAAATACTTAAATTTATTATTTTAATCGATATACAATAATAATATTAACGTATTGCTTGATCCGGCTCGAAGGACCACTTAATCATTCGAGCCGGATCAAGCAAATATTAATATTGTTATATACTATTTGTAAGCATAGTATCTATGTATATTATATTATACTATATTATTATATTATTATATAGTATCTATGTAAGAGTTTTATTCCAAGTCGGTTGCAATATCTACATATAATATGTTTGTCCTCGCAGGTATCTGCATCGTTCCCGGAACTGGATTCGGTCAGCGTCCCGGCACGTACCACTTCCGCACCACGATCCTGCCGCAGCCCGCGCTGCTGCAGCAGATGTTGAACATCTTCAAGGACTTCCACGCCAAATTCACTAACGAATACAAGTAAACACGCACGGACACGCTGTAACCAGTCCCGACACGCAGCTACAACTTCATATCCACTCGGAAGTAACGATAACGTAGCTTGTATTGCAGTTATACGGTATTTTAGGGACATACATACACATACTATACAATGATTCTTGTTTAAATAAACATGTATGATGAATAGAGAACTTATATAAGTCCATATTCAGATGGCAATTGGGCTTGTTTCCAATAATATATAATTTATTAAGAAAGAAGAATTTTCAATATCAAGAAGATTGGAATTTTTTTTAAAATACTTTGGAATTTTATGTAAGAATTCCCGATAGTAACAAGTATATATATATAAATAAAAATGAATTGCTGTTCGTTAGTCTCGCTAAAACTCGAGATTAGTTATAATAGAAACGTTTCAGTGAACTATACTAATTATTTTGTCCCTTTCTAACCTGTTCTGCTCTTAATTTGTAAGACAGTGATACAACATTGTAATGGTAATATATTTGTTTGTAGCTTTGTATTTACGAGTACGAGAGTTAGTTGAAACGTTTCAGTGAACTATGCTAAATATTTTGTCCCTTTCTAACCTGTTCATCTCTTAATTTGTAAGACAGTGATACATTGTAATTTGTTTGTAGGTATGTTTTTACGAGTACTTGAAACGTTTCAGTAATGACGGTGTTTTGTCGTCTTGCTTTGTTAAATTTAAATAGTCAATTTATATTATATAAAAAATAGAGTTTATTTAAACGACTCGCTTATGATTTTGCGTTTTTCTTAATAATATACTATATTTTATATTTATTTGCTGAGATTTTTTTTAACTATGGACTGGATAGAAGATTTATTTGTTACTGGATAGTTAACGTTGTATTAACACGTTAAACGCCATTGTAATTTTTTTTGTATTAAAAAATCTTTTAGGACATCGGTAAACAGTAATTTGGGATTGAAATTTTCCAGAAAAATAAAGAAAATTCATTTCGGTCAGCAGTGACCGCCGTGGTAGGTGTGGGACAAAAAACATTAACATTTTGTATTCGCGTGCGTCGCGAGGTCATGAGAGAGGGTTGTTGTTGAGGGTCGTTCCGGTCACTCTAGTACTAGCACTAGTACTACAAATGAATGAAAAAAATCACGCGCCGTGGCTCAACACTGTAAACAGCAATATTCATAATATTAATACTAGATTTAAAGACAAACTTGTTGTCCCCAAGTATCGTTTAGAAAAGTCAATAGGTCTTTTATGGGAATAGGGATCAAAATTTACAATAACATACCAAAGGATATGTTAAAATAAGTTGAAAACAAAACATCTGTTAAATCATATTTACAGAGCAAGGCCTATTACTCACTAAACGATTACTTGAATGACGAGCGTGCATGGCAATAGTTGTTCATGTACGGGATTTTCATTTAATGTTAGACATAGACACCTATATAAATACCTATACATTGTAAATAAACTGGCTTTAAAAAAAAAAGTAATTCAATTGAGTTTCTTGCCAGTTCTTCTCAATTGGATCTATATACCGAACTGGACGGTAGGAAAAAAAATTATAATGTAAAAACTTGACGTCCATAAGCGGCTAAAATGTCCTACATGAATAAATGATTTTTGAATTTGAATTTGACGGGTCACGCACACCGCCTTACGTCCGATAGTCGCGGGTTCGATATCTCGCACGGCAAAAACATTTGTATTCATGAGTATGATTGTTTGTATCGGTCTGGGTGTTTTCTATGTATATTAAGTAGCTTCATCGCAACACTTGTGTGTGTGTGGTACACCTACGCGACGCAAAGATCCAGACATTATGAGGTCACCGGTGACCTAGTGACCTACATGGCGTTTAAAGTGTGAAGCATTTTACTCTAATTTTATTGTACATAATATATTAATAATTCAGTTATATTTTTCGTTGTACTAACAATAAGCTTTTTTAAATGAACTATTTGACTGTCTCTAGTCCCAACTGCGCCGTTATATGGGCACAGTTGTTAGTGTTTATAAAAAAATTATATTTATTATTTACCGTTGCATTTTATAATACAGTAGAACCTGTAGTCATTCTCAGACAAGTGACAGATAAGTTGCTGGCCAAGTTTTTGTTCTATATGTAGTTTCAGTGACGTTTATTGCGCAGTGGTTAAGACATTTCCTCGCGTATATAAGTCCTGAATACGATCTGAACATTATGTACCCATTTTATATCGATTTTATACCGATGTTTCTCATATAGAACAGTAATTGTCTGATTTTTAAACTAGAGTATATGTATACAGAAATAATGTATTTTCAAACATATATAAGACTCTTTGTATTTCTTTTAATGCATAATAACATATTTTTTATACTTTCGCTATTATTGTATACAGTTAAATTGGTTTTAACACGACTTTTTTATGGTAAATAAAGGCTGTTCCCGCGACTTCGTCTGCGTGGAATTTTATTTTATTTTTCTAAAATAAAAGTAGCCTAAGTTACTCCTTATTACATCATCTAGCTGCTAAAAAAAAGTCCCGTCAAAGTCGGTCCAGCCATTTCAGAGATTACCGGAACAAACAGTGTAAAATATGTTATTTTGGTGTATGTACCGTATCTATATCCATATGCATGTAGTAAAAAACGGTTTCAATATTACAAACAGACACTCCAGTTTTATTTATATGTATAGATTTTTTTCCTACCGTCCAGTTCAGTATATAGATCGAAATACCTTTATTTACCATTAAAACATATTATAAACACATATGATAGTTGAACATACAATTGTTAGGATTGTATGAATGTTTTATACAAATATTGTGATAATTGTTTATTGATAACAAAAACTAGGTTCTGCTGTATATGATTTATTCGTCACTAACTCTATGTGTATTATTATATATATATATATATATTTATTTATTTATTGCTTTTTCAGCGGACTTATCATAAATTAGGATCGAAACGCTCAGGTTAATATGTTATTTATAGTAAAATACATTGAATGCATCTATAATAGACAAAGTAGAGCATCTCTGCAATAGACAATACTTTCTCGTCCGTCAATAGACAAGTTTGTAATATAGAACTGTCTCGCATACTCTATGGTTTCATTAGCAACTACGGCTACGTTTGATTACGTCAAATGTACAGTATTATGTTGTCTATGATTTTGAATGAATTAAAAAAATGAAATCTGTAATGTGAGGAATTTTAGTTTTATCGACTCTCGAAACATTATTTAAATACATATGTTTAAAATTATAATAAAACGAGCTGTTCCCGCGACTTCGTCCGCGTGGAATTTAACTTTATTTTTCTAAAATAAAAGTAGCCTAAGTTACACCTTATTATATCAGCTACCTGCTAAAAAAAGTCCCGTCAAAATCGGTCCAGCCATTGCAGAGATTAACCGGAACAAACAGTCAAAAAATGTAAAAAATGTTATTTTGGTGTATGTACCGTGTTTATATTCATATGCATGTAGTAAAGATCGGTTATTTCAATATTACAAACAGACACTCTAATTTTATTTATATGTATAGATATACTCGGAAAGTTGTATATATTTCATAATAATATCAGATGAATGAAACATGTGTATTACTAAATTAAATATATGAAATTGTATTTTTTTGTAATTTAAACTTATACAGATCAATGTGGAAAGTGTAATATATTTGTCTAAAGTTGTTGATCTGTTTGTTAAATATTCTCAATAAGTATGTGATTAAAGATATAATTTATTGGAATATATGAGAATATAAATGTACTATTATTGTTTCATTGGATGTATTTTGATTACAATTTCGTTGATGCATATCTTTGTTGAGTTGTAATAAAGCAATAGAAAGATAATGTGTTTTTTTTATAAGGGTATAAAGTTTCAGTTGGATGACGTATGCCTGGTCTCAACCACGATCAAAAATGTATGCGTTCACTAAAATTAATATCTTTTTCGGACTCTAACGCTGTATATATATTTAAAATATACATATATAAATGGAAATATTAACTTGCTTATGAATTTTATGATTGATTAAGAGGCGCATCTAGGGTATGTTTTGTAACATTGTTGGCAACACTGCGATCAATAAAAACATTTTCGCCGACTACCCCTTTCGGGCGAGTTGTGTCGAGTTCGACGTAATAAGCGTGATTTATCTCACTGTCGTTTCTTGTCGACTGGGAACGGCCGGATACCCTCTTAATTCAATGTATCTTGAACCGTGGGTCTTTGTTGTCGCCGGCACCGGCAATTGATAACCACAATTTTCGGACTAACGCTGTTGGCCGCAGCTGGCCTTACAGCTTCACCGGACGATAGGGGTGAGTGTAGATGGCACTCCAAACCAAGGAAGGACTTATGGAGCGGATGAAGGCCAACTCCCGCCTGACGGATACGACTTTAGTCTGAGAGCACCGCTAGGAGTTCGAACCTCGGCCCAGGCTGTCGTAATATCGATCCCCGTTTGAATTGGACGGGGGATCGATCGGAGGCGATCTTCCAACTTATATAATTGTATTCACATAGTTTTAAATATGTAAATGCTGAATAACGTTTAATTAATACAGCAACATAATTTCCTGCTCGTTCTTGTGCTGCTTTCTGAATGACTTCAAGAGTGCTTACATTATCTTTATTGGAATGAAGGTTACTTCTATTTTAATTTTATAGCACACGATGGAGTCGTTTAGACTCGTCACAGTGTATGTTAAGGGGTTACATGGGTTTTAAAATTTGAAAATATCGATTTTTTTTTCATCTTATTAAATAGTACAATATGTTAAAAATATTCTCTCAAAGTTTCAAATCGATCCGAGTAAAATTCTAAGAGCTAGACCCTTCGGAAGTTCCGCCCATCGTGCCACGTTGGTGTAGGATCGCTGCATATGTCGCTGCTGGCACATTCAATGAAGGAGTCTCAGCTTTATTGCTTTTTATGCATGGCATGGACTTGAAACTTGGCCGAAACAGCCATGAGTATGCCCAAAAAGAAGATGAGAACTGCATACTCATTGCCGAAAAAAAAAAAGCTGAGATTGAGACTCGTGTAGCTAGAATTC